TGTATATATAGTATTAAAAATCATGTAAGAAATTTATTTTATTTAATCCACAAAAAAATAATACATGAAAAAAAGAATTGAAAAAAATTTTGTTCGGCCCCGTGCATGGTACGGGTCAAAATACTAGTATTTATTTATGTTTTAGTTTGCAAATTTCACTATTTATTCCGAGTGCTCATAATGAGAGGGCCTAGGGATGGAAACTAGCTCAACGTCAAATAAAAGAGTCCTTTCATGCAGCTTCCACATATAATCTGTCCAAATTTCCATACATTGTCACATTGAAAAGACAACATTTTAAAATCAAACAGATTCTGAAGCCTATATATATACCGAGTACCGACTATATAAAAGGTAAATCAGTACGGAGTACTCACTTTCAAGCTAGCTTCGATCATGGGAAACATCTTCTTGAAACGTCCTCTGGCTCCCACGGTGTCGTCGAAATCAATCTCCATCCTCGTCATGGTGGCGCTCTTCTTGTTGACGGCGGCTGCCACCGCCTCGGAGGCTCGAATGGTCCCGCCGCTGGCTGTGGCCGTTTCCTCTAAAAATAACGACGACAATTCCCCCGACGTCGGAAGAAGAGCGACGGCGGCGGCCGGCCGCACGAATAAATATCGACAACTTCTTGAGAAAGGGAGTGCGTCGCCGTCCGGTCCGAGCGGGAAGGTACACCGGAACTCACAGGTTTCCGGTGACTTATCGTGAAGGCTAATACATACGTACTCCGCATGCAATATAATATGTTGAGCATTTGAGTTTGATTATTACAGGGACCGATCGGAGTAGTATAGGTTTTGAGAGATGCATAATTAATTAATTGTATGAGTTACATTTTTCTTAATGGCCGAGTAGTATATTTTTTTGGGAACATATATATACGACTCACTTATATCTTCTTCATTTTTTGAGTTTCTTCATGGAGCACATGTAAATATGTAATCCTTGAGTCTCAATTTAGGGAGTAATTGGTATCGTCTGATACGATTAATTCCATAAAAATGGTTGGGACCTGGGAGTATATATTATTTTAATTACAATTTAAAATAAGAGATTTTTGGGGGAAAAAAAATTAAATTAAGCGTAAAACATTGAAAATATATTATATACTCTCTCCGTTCTAATAAAAAAGAGTTCCTATTTTGACCAAGTGTAAAAATAAGGAAGTGTTAAATTGTATGGAGTAATTGACTTCCAATTTTGCCCTTGACGTGATGGGTAAAAGTAAGATGTAATGGATAGATTATTAGAAAAAAAGTATGATGTGATAGGTAGAGTATGAAAAAGTAAGAGTAAAAGTAGTTTTTTAATAGAAAGTTGAAGTGTTTTGTTGGAAATGAAAAAAAATGAAAGAGGAAATGTTTTTGAGAACGGATGAAGTATGAGTTAAATTTTTTTATTTCTGAAATAGGAGTTAAAATACATTTACATTACCAATCATGATCATATACATTACCAAAAAGTACTGTGAAATATCTATGTACAATGTTACATTACCACAATGCAAATTCTTATTTTGAGAATAAATACATGGAACTCCTATTTTAGTACTTTTTTATGTTTTCCTCCTATTTAGGTTCGTTTCTTCTTATTTTAATACTCCCTGTGTCCCAATTTTGATTATAATTTTTTTCTCTCATCACCTCTCAATATCTTTTGTTTATTTGTGTATTTTCATTCAATATTTAAAAAAAATATTTTGGGATTCCTCAATCCTTATCAAATGGATACAGTTGGAGTACACCGTACCAAAATGCCATTTGTACATCAAAACAACCCAGATAATAGAAACATTATGTGTAAAAGCGGAAAAATGCTAGGTGTACACCAAAGGTGTACCCATTTATCCCTCACCCCCTCCATTACCACAAAAATGGACAAAATATTTTTAAAAAATTAATAAATAAAAATGGGGTAAGAGTGGTGGAAAAAGAGGTGGGGACAAATGGAGTACACCAAAAGTGTACTACTAGCATTGCTCGTATAAAGAGACTACACGTCTACACCATTCTATTATACCCTAGGACCATGCTACACTTACACCAAAAAATATACCTACTGGCGGATCTATATGTTTGGGAGGGGGGGGGCAGTTGCCCCCAGTGAATCTTTGCTTCCTATGTAAAAACAAGGAAGAAATTTTAGAACTTTGATAGTTGCCCCCAGTGATGTTCTTAAATTTGACAATTGCCCCCACTATTTTGATAATATATCCAACCCAATCCACCAGTATCAAAGCCCAGTGCCTAGTCCAATGTTGAAATTAAATATAATATACTCCGTATTGCATTAGGGTCTTGAGGAATAAACACATGCTCCATCCGTCATCGAAAACTCTTTTTGTTTGTCAAAGAGTGACACTCTTTGACCATATATTAAATATAATCTTATAAATATATTTTTTAAAAAATCTGATTTGTCAAAAATATATCTTAAGATAAACTCAATTATATTAAATTTATATTATAATAAAATATACTCCGTAGTTTTCTTACAATTTATGGTTAAAGAATGTCACGATTTGACAAAAAAATCAAAACATGAAGAGTTTTTAAGGACGGACGGCGTATATATAGATATGAAAATGGAAAAGTTTTTTAAACAGAAAGACACCAAAACCAGCTTCAGGTTCATCTAGCAATAGTAATACGAACAAAGATATAATTGACTGTTTGAAAAATCAAAACTTGTAGGGAATATGTTTGAAATGTAAGTTTGTTTTTCTTTAATTACATATTTTGCTTTTTAATTAATTTTAATTTTTTATTATATACTATCTCCGTTTGTAAAAAGGCTTCCTACTTTGACTTGGAGCTGAGCCAAAATAAGAGACTTCCAATTTTGNCTTCAGGTTCATCTAGCAATAGTAATACGAACAAAGATATAATTGACTGTTTGAAAAATCAAAACTTGTAGGGAATATGTTTGAAATGTAAGTTTGTTTTTCTTTAATTACATATTTTGCTTTTTAATTAATTTTAATTTTTTATTATATACTATCTCCGTTTGTAAAAAGGCTTCCTACTTTGACTTGGAGCTGAGCCAAAATAAGAGACTTCTAATTTTGCTCCTGATGTGATGTGTAAAAGTAAGATGTGATGGATAGATTATTAGAGAAAAAGTATGATGTGATAGATAGGGTATGAAAAAGTAAGGGTAAAAGTGATTTTTTAATAGAAAATGAAAGTGTTTTGTTGGAAGTGGAAAAAATGAAAGAGGAAGTGTTTTTGAGAACGAAGGGAGTATGTGTTTATTCTATATGTGCTAACCAACTATGCCCCCGGTGAAAAAAATTTCTGGATCCGCCACTGAATATACCCCATTTGTACACCACAGGTTTGCACAAACATTTCGATGGTTTACACCGACACAAGTGTTGGTGCGTTAATAAAAATTCACACGGACACAAATGTTGGTGCGTTTAACAAAAATTAGTTTTACACCAACACAAAGTGTTGATGCAAAACTGCGGGGTATAAATTAGGGTACAAACTTTGGGGTACACATAGCATAATCCTATACCCTAACATGACCCATAAAATACAAGGAATTGCTTTGAGTTGAAACAAGTGGTTGGAGTCTTTTGAATATCGAAGAAAATATTATGAGCGGCAAAAATGAAAATGTATGGATGGGAGTATCAATATAATTCAAAAGTTTGTTATACACTTATACTCCATACGTAAAGTTCAAATACTAAAATATTAGCCTCCATATGAAATACTCCGTACTTGCGTATCTGATTCAGACTAATTGTTTGGTACTCCCTCATTTCTTAAAAACACTTCCTCTTTCATTTTTTTTACTTCCAACAAAATACTTTCCCTTTCTATTAAAAAACCACTTTTACCCTTACTTTTTCATACCCTACCTATCACATCGTACTTTTTCTCTAATAATCTATCCATCACATCTTACTTTTACTTATCACATCAGGGGTAAAATTGGAAACCAACTATAATTTAACACTTCCTTATTTTTGCCCCCAAATCAAATAGGAAGGGTTTTTCCAAACGGAGGGAGTACACTCTCTTCCCCATAAATTTTTTCAGATTTTTTATTGTCTTCAATGTACTCCGTAATAGTTTAACTACTAACATCTTTATTTATATATAAATATATACTACTCCGTATAAAAATATGATATTTTAAAATTATATTTTAGATAAAATGAGAATTATCTAACTTATAATAATGCATAACATATGAAATTATGAACTAGATACTTTTTTACTCCGTCCAAATAAATTTTATTCACTTTCCTCTTTTTGGACGTAACAAAAAAAGTACTCCGGAGTATTTCACTTTACTTCTTTCTAATAATAAATACGTGGCTTGAGTTCGATTCCTGATAAATGCTCTGTCAGACAATTATATTAAGCATAAAATCTCTACAACTACCAGGTGCACGTTTTATTTGTTAACAATAATTTGTGATTAAAACCCAATTTATCTATACTCAAATAACCATTCGGCTGGTTCTGAAAGACCCTTAAAGATTAGGTTCAGCCGTTTTTTTACAAATTGACTTCCACGTATTTTAAAAAAGTGTACAATCCAAAATTTGTTTAAATAAAAGAAAAATAGTATGTACCACATACTCATGGCTAGAATTGAAAATAAAATGAGTGTTTTTCTATGTTTTTAAGCTGATTAAAATTACAATAATTTTATTCATAAGTTATCTAATGACATATTTATGTATGCTTATAAGCTGACCTATAAACAACTACGGAGTAGAAAAAAAGAGTTATTTTGACAATATTATTTACAAAATTGTTACTGACAATTTATGAATAGTTCCTAAATAACTTATACTCCGTATATCATTTAAGTCATTTTACTTTGGGGAGTGTTCAAGTGACATTGAACTTTGGTGTTTTACTTTTATGAGAGAATTTTTAACTTATAAATACAATTTATAAGTTCAAAATTATTTACCAGCAACAAATCAATTAGCAGCACTATAGAAAAACACCACATTTTTTAAAGAATTGCTAAAAATTTAAAACCCAAAACAATCCAAACCAGAAATAGTGAAATACTATAAAAGCTCTATAGCGTATAGGGTATGAAGTCAACAAAGGAAAGTCGGACAGACAATGCCGTAAGTTTCACTCTCAAAAGAAGTGACATTTCTTTCTTTCTTTCCTTGTGATTGAACCTTGAGGATTTGAATTTGATCCTGGTGGGGAAAGGCAAGTGGGAACCAGCAGATCAATCCCACCTGGAAAAAGTGACATTTCCTCCTCTCATTTGCCTTCTGGTGAGTATGTTTGTTTGTGTGTCAAACCACACATTCCCACTGGTCAGCAAATAAAAACCAAAGAATTGTATTTTTTTTTTTAATTTAAAGAAAAAACCAGACCAGTGTTTCTGGGTAATTGATGGTTATGGCTGGGCAGAGAGAGGAAGATGACTATGACTACCTGTTCAAGGTGGTGCTGATAGGGGATTCCGGCGTAGGGAAGTCCAATTTGCTGTCAAGATTTGCCCGGAACGAGTTCAACATGGAGTCCAAATCCACCATCGGTGTCGAATTCGCCACCAAAAGCTTGGACGTTGACAGCAAAGTCGTCAAAGCTCAAATCTGGGACACTGCTGGCCAAGAAAGGTACCATTTTTATTGCCTTCTTCTTTCTGTTCTGCTCTGGGTGTTCATGGTTCTCCATCTTCTTCCATGGATTTGTGTTCTTTTTGTTCTTTGTGACAATGGGTTGTTCCAAGAATGTAAAAAATTTCCATTCCTGCCCCCATCATCACTTGGTTTCCCAGGTACAGAGCCATCACCAGTGCATACTACAGAGGTGCACTGGGAGCTTTGCTGGTATATGACGTCACAAGACAGCCGACTTTTGAAAGCGTGGGACGGTGGCTGAGAGAACTGAGAGATCACACAGATCCCAATGCAGTTGTCATGCTCGTAGGCAACAAGTCCGACCTTGGACACCTGCAAGCTGTTTCACATGAGGACGCAAAGTCTTTAGCAGAGAAAGAGTCCCTCTATTTCATGGAAACTTCAGCCCTTGAATCCACCAATGTCAGTGAGGCATTCACCCAGGTTATTACTCAGGTCTACAACGCGACACGTAAGAAGTCCATTGAAAATGGCGAACTCGAAACCTCTTCTTCTTCTTCTTTGGTTGTTCCCTCGCATGGTGTAAAGATTGATGTTTCAAAAGATGAACCTGATGATGTAAAGAGAAGAGGCTGTTGCAGAACTTCTTAGAGCTTTCAAAGCTGCTGCATTGCACATCAGAAGTAATCTCAGGCATGACTATATTCAGTGAAGGCCTAACCTTTCCCCATCTCCCCTTGTCCCTTCTTTTAATTATACTCCTATATTTTTTAATTATTTGATACCAAGAACACATTACTTAGCTCTTATTGAATTTTTTTCTCTAGAAATTATTGTGTTTATTATGGAATAAAACCCTTTCTAGTAGAATTAACGGATTCGACAGAAATGTAGAAATATATGCAACTCAAGTGTTAGAATTCATTACTTGACAAGAATGTGTGTGTGTGTCAGCGCGCTTGAAATAAAATAGAAAAATTCACAGCAATGGATGCAGAAGTTCTTTCCAACTAGTGGCAGAAACAGCATTTCCATTTCCAATCATTGCATCAAAACATCTCAGCCCTTCATCCAGTCTTCCACAATCACACAATCCTCTAATGACCATAGAATACAATGTCGGTTTCACGGACATCTTTCTGCTAACCATTTCCTTCACTAAGCCGAGTGCCTTCGAAACATCACCTTGGACACAATAACCATTGATCATTGTCTTATAATGATTAGACACATCATAAACCACAAAACTGGAGCCACACTGCAATCCATAAAACAATCTCTCTGCCTCATCGACCCTTCCTTCTTTCCAATAACTTTCAAGAATGTGATTAAGTGAAGTAGAAAAGTCGGTTGTCATCTTACCACCTCTATTCATATCCCTTAAAAGCTCTAATGCTTCATCGACTCTACGATCTTCACACAACCCTTTTATCACATACCTACTCATATCTTCCCTCATTATTGTTCTTTTTTTCTTACTCTCCACTTCAAAGAACTTCAATGCATCTTCTGCTCTCCCTGCCCGAAAAAGAGCTGTGATGAAGGAGCCATAAACGCAAACTTCAATCACGTTTCTTTTCTTCATCATTTCTTTCAGTAGATTCTCTGCCTCATTTATCCTTCCTGCACTGCACAAGGATCTGAAATAAGCTTCATATGCCATAATCACGGGAACCTCACAACTCATTTGGAATATAGCCCTTCTCCCTCCCTTGACAGCCTTTTTGGACACCTCCAAACCACCATTATCGTATTTTATCAGTTTGCAGAAGAGTTTCTTCGCCTCTCTCAATTTACCGGATTTACACAGCGCGTGTAGGAAGTTTCCGTAAATGCATATATCGAAAAGGAAATTACTTTCCCACAATTTTCTCAAAATATTGTCAGCTTCAATAACAGCCCCATTTCTACAAAAGCACTGAAATATCACAAAATAGCTCAAATCATCCACTGGAATCCCTCTGTTATGCATTTCAACGCAAACCTCTTCAGCTAAACCACACTCATTGACATTGCACAAAGCCCCAATCAAGGAAACAAGACTTTGCCTTTCCCAAACTACCCTCCCACTCCCACCCATTAAAACCCTATGACAAACTCTCTTAACTTCATCTGCACTGCCATATCTGCTGACATGCATCACATAATCAGAAGCACAAATTCTGATCCCCGGCCCACAAATCTCGGCCCACACCATCTCCACAGCATCAAAGTTCCCATCTTTGACTAAAAAATCAAACACTAAGCCATACGAGAAGTGATCAGAAACCTGCCCTTGGCGATTGAGATTGATTACAATAGCCTTCGCCCGCTGAAGTTTCTTGATTTGTGATAGAAAATCAATGGCGATGGCTGAAATTGCCGGGGTGAAGATGTGGGTCTGGGCCAAGAAGGAGTCCAGGGCGGTTAGGGCTTTGTAGTTCCTAGGGTTCTTCGAAAGGGAATCGATTAGGCCGCGGAATGACTCCAGGTAGCGAAGTGTGTCCGGTGCGTTGCTTGCGCCGGCGGCGTCGGCGTGCAGCCTTCTGCGGTGGGGTGGCGGCGGTGGAGAGAGAATAGCAGAGAAGAATCGAGGATGAATGCGTGAGAAGGTGGAGAATGGGGAAGGTTTCATGAATGCGAGTGTATAACCATTGCTGGTTTGGGAGTTGAGATGATAATGGAACGAAATCAAAATCCGTATGAGATGCAAATTGGGCTGAATCGCCCTTTCCTTCCGGTGGGCTAAAATGAGAGCCCAATATCCAATGTTAAAATTTTACTATTTCTTTTTCCTGAAAAACTCATGCAGCATCCTCGACGTCCCGATCGTACGCCAAATGATTCAGGTCCCGTTTGATATCAGCGTTAGAAATTAGTGTTAGCATTTTGAAAAGGATATTCGAGAGTAGTCTTTAGCGTTAGTTTTTACAAAATTAATCTACACTATTAAAATTTTATTCAAAACGCTAATGCTAATTGAAAACGTTGTTTCCAAACATGACCTTAATTATTAAATTACTTTTATTATCAGAAAAATTATCTCATCTTTAAAAGGTCTTTTAAAATAATTTTATTTCTCATTGTGATGCATAGCAAGATAATAAGTTGAGCGCTTCTATGGTGCACTTTAGATTCATGTTATTTTTGTGAAACTTCTCATATAAATAATCCTTTTTTAAATTTTTTTATTAAAAATACTCCGTAGATGCTAATTTAAGTAGTAAGGTTCCGTTCCATTCAACTAATTTTTTTCAAATCTGATCTGATTTGATCTGATTTTAAGTAGTAAGGCTCTTACGAAACACTTATTTTGCTAATATGTAAGTCCATGGTGGACTTTAGGTCCACTATAGAACTTGCCTAATAATAAGCTCACCTTTATTTGTGTTCACGTTTTAGACCATTATTAAGAACCTAACTTCCACATAACGTATTTGAAAAACAAATGTTTTATTTCGTGCAACAATTGAAGGTGAGATTATTTGAAGTAAATTTTTATTTTTAAATTTGGAAATCTAAATTAAATTTTTAAAATGATGTTCTAACTCCACCATTGTTTTTTTTGGAGTAGTCTTGCTTTAGAAAAATGTCAAAGTAAAAAATAAGAAATAAAAACATTTTAAGAAAAAAATCAGAAAACACAAGAAAAATCTCATCATCCCAACGGCAATATTGTCGTTACAATTTATATATATATATATATATATATATATATATATATATATATATATATATATATATATATATATATATATATATATATATATTGGTTCTGGTGAGAATGCAATTTTAGGAGAGAAATGAGAATGAATCTTGTGCTTTAGATTGTGGGATCTAAGGGTCAGGATTGCATCAAAATTATGTGCAACACAATGATTTGAAAATGCATCACGTTGAAATGCATCATAATCCTTTGAAAATACACTATCTCAAAATCTGAGCGCAGGATGCAATCTGAGCCGCACAATGCATCAGATCCAACGGCTAGATTTCATTCTCATTTCTCTCCACAAGGTGCATTCTCACAGGAACCGGACCCTATATATATATATATATATAATTCTCTGTATTTCTCTCTTGTCTTTACAATTTACAATGAGGACATATATATAGGATCTCACAAGTTGAGACTCCTAATAAGTAAAGGAAAAGGAAAAGGAAAGCATCCCTATACAAAGAAAACTACCAAAACAATATATACACAAATATCTCCAAATATTCTATCAAATATTCTACCAAATATTCTCTTTCCTTTAACACCCCCCCCCCCTCAAGTTGGAGCATGTAGTAACGAAATGCCCAACTTGGGAAGAAGAAACTCCAAACGTGACTTTCCGAGTGCCTTTGTATAAATGTCTGCAAGCTGATGCGTAGTAGGCACATGAAGTATACGAATCTCTCCTCGCAAGAGCTCATCACGAACGAAGTGACAATCTATCTCAATGTGCTTCGTGCGTTCGTGGAAAACCGGATTAGCAGCAATGTGAAGTGCTGCCGTGCTGTCACACCGGACCGTCATGGGGTCCTTATGCTCAACCCCTAAACACCGCAAAACATTCTTCAACCACTTCAACTCACATGTAAGGACANCCCCCCTCAAGTTGGAGCATGTAGTAACGAAATGCCCAACTTGGGAAGAAGAAACTCCAAACGTGACTTTCCGAGTGCCTTTGTATGAATGTCTGCAAGCTGATGCGTAGTAGGCACATGAAGTGTACGAATCTCTCCTCGCAAGAGCTCATCACGAACGAAGTGACAATCTATCTCAATGTGCTTCGTGCGTTCGTGGAAAACCGGATTAGCAGCAATGTGAAGTGCTGCCGTGCTGTCACACCGGACCGTCATGGGGTCCTTATGCTCAACCCCTAAACACCGCAAAACATTCTTCAACCACTTCAACTCACATGTAAGGACAACCAAAGCTCTATACTCTGCTTCAGCTGACGAGCGAGCCACCGTCGACTGCTTCTTTGTTTTCCATGAGACAGGCGAGTCTCCAAGCTGCACAAACCACCCTGTCAATGACCGCCTCGTCAAAGGACATGCTGCCCAGTCCGAATCACACCATCCTGTGAGTTGAAGGCTACTCTCTGCTGACAGAAAAATGCCCTGACCTGGACATCCTTTCAAATAACGAACGACTTTAAGGGCCGCAGACCACTGATCCTCCCTTGGTTCCTTCAAAAACTGTGCTAAAGTGCGGACGGCATAAGAAAGTTCCGGTCGTGTAACGTAGAGATAGACCAACCTTCCTACCAACCGTCGATATGGTTCTGGATCTGCAAGGACCGGGGCTTGGGAACGAGCCAAGTGATGATTTGGTTCCATCGGGGCACCCAACGGCCTGGCACCTAACAACCCCGCCTCAGTGATGATATCTAAGGCATACTTTCGTTGGCAGTGAAAAATCCCAGACGTGCTCCTCGCCACCTCAATGCCAAGAAAGTATTTCAGTGTTCCCAAGTCCTTCATATGAAAACAATCTCCGAGATAGACTTTGAACTTGCTTACCATCTCTGTATTATCTCCAGCAATAATCAAATCGTCAACATAAACCAAAACATGTATGACTCCTTTCTTTCCAACAAAAGAAAATAAGGAGTAATCAGCAACAGATTGAACAAACACATAGCGTTTTAAGGCTCCGGACAACTTGGCAAACCAACACCTTGGAGCTTGCTTTAAGCCATACAGAGATTTCTTGAGTTTGCACACCACATTAGACGAATTCGAGAAACCAGGTGGCAATCTCATATACACCTCATCCTGAAGATCTCCGTGTAGAAATGCATTGTGAACATCCATCTGATGCAATTCCCACCCCTTAACTGCTACAATTGCTAAAAGCATTCTCACAGTGGTCAACTTGACTACAGGAGCAAATGTTTCTTTGTAGTCAAGTCCTTCAACCTGATTATTGCCAAGTATAACAAGTCTGGCCTTATATCTCTCCACACTTCCATCGGACTTGCGCTTGATCTTATATACCCATTTGCAACCAAGGGGCTTTTTATGGCATGGAGGAGAGACAAGAGACCACGTCCCATTAGCCTCCAGTGCATCAATCTCCTTTCTCATAGCCTTCCTCCATCGTTCATCTTGGAATGCCTTCTTGAAACTTGTGGGCTCCACTCCAGCATCAAGTGCGCTGCGAAAACGCTTGTGTCTGTCAGAGAACTTCTCGTGTGTGACATACGAGGCAAGAGGATATTTGCATTTTTCACCAACATGTGAACAAGCTACATGGGTAACATAATCGGCAAGGCGTACATTTGGACGTTTCTCACGTTGACCACGTCCCAAGTTCTCCACCGCCTGCTGGGAAGAGGACGGTCGACCGCCGTCCGTGGAACGGTCCACGAGGTCGACCGTCTGAAGCTGTTCCGGATCGCTAACTTTCTGCCTCGGAGACGGTCGACCGTCTTCCACTTCACGGTCGACCGTTTGATCATCTCCCAAAGAAACGTCATTCTGCCTCGCGGACGGTCGACCGTGGATATCAGAACGGTCCACCAGGTCGACCGTTTGGTCATCTCTCAGGAACCCGTCATTCTGCCTCTCGGACGGTCGACCGTGGACATCCGAACGGTCCATCAGGTCGACCGTCTGTAGCCTGTCTGCTCCACCGCTTTCCTCTGGTCCACCATCCCTCCTGGAACGGTCCATCTGCTCTTCCGTCCGCATTTCTTCATCTTCATCATAAGAGCTAACCTCATTTGTACTTCCTGTATCAATAGATGCACCTGTAGGAGTCAAGAAAGGGAAAATATCTTCACAGAACACAACATCCCGGGACACCTTAATTTCCCTAATGTCCGGGTAGTAAATACGCCATCCCTTCTTCCCTTGCGGATATCCAACAAATATTCCAGGATTGCTTCTTGGTGCGAATTTATCTCCATTCCTCTTTAAGTTATGAGCATAACATCTGCATCTAAAAACACGAATATGAGCCAAAGAGGGTGGTTTTTCATAGATCTTCTCGTATGGTGTGACCCCCCTAGCAAATATGAAGGTGTGCGATTGATCAGATGTGCGGCGGTCTGTATACACTCTCCCCAGAACTCAATCGGAAGACCAGCCTAAAACCTCAAAGCCCGACCCACATTCAAAATGTGTCGGTGTTTGCGTTCTACTCTCCCATTCTGTTGTGGGGTAGACACACAAGACGTTTCATGAATAATTCCTTGCTCCCTGAAATATTCGTTTAGACATTCAAATTCTGTGCCATTATCACTGCAAACACACTTTATTTTCTTCCCAAATTGTCGTTCTACCATAGCACAGAATTGTTTAAAAACAGTGCCAACCTTACGTTTGGAATCAAGCAAATGTACCCAAACACCTCTTGAAAAGTCATCCACAATGGTCAAAAACATTGTAGAGCCATCAAAACTTGAAGTCCTATATGGTCCCCATAAATCACAGTGTATCATATCAAATTTATCAACAGATTGATAAAAACTTATAGGAAAACTCCCACGAGTCTGTTTAGCACGCAAACAAATGTCACAACAACTGTGACTACTCTTACTTGTTCCAACTCCAGGAACAAGAGACAAAACATGAGAGGAAGGATGTCAAAGTCGTTTGTGTCAAAGATCAAACTTACTCTCCTTCTTCGCACTGCACACCATCTTCTTTTCTGGTTCCTTGAAGTAATAAAGTCCTCCTTCCTGCTCACCCATACCAATTTCTGTCTTTAAACACAGATCTTGTAGTATACACTTATCGTTGGCAAAACGTGCCTCACAGTTCGAATCCCTTGTCAATTGTGACACAGAGATTAAATGACAACTCAAAGTGGGAACATATAGGACATCGTGCAGAAGTAATGTTTCTATTAATTTAATCTTCCCAGATTGTACAGAAATAATTCTTTTCCCATTGGGCAAACCAATCTCACATGGTGATATTCCCACGACGTCATGCAATAATGAAATATCACCAGTCATATGATTTGATGCCCCAGTATCTATAATCCAACGCGGTGACACAGGAATACCTGAAAGCTTCATACTAGAAACACACGATGATAGGGAGAAAAACATCTTCCTTGGTTGTTCATCGGCCATGGCGGTAGCAGAGTGGCGTACGGCGGTGGCGGAAGAATCAACAGCAGCATCTATCACACAATCTGCCGACGAGACGGTCGACGTGCTCGACCGTTCAAGAGCAACGGTCGACCGTTCCGTTGTCCGGCAACAACAACAAACGACTGAAACTGAGCAACGATCGATGGACGCCATGCCGGGCGATCGTGAACAGTAGTCGCTGAAAATATCTAGGGTTTTGGCTCTGATACCATGAAAGAATTGTTTGGGAGGAAATTCTCTGTATTTCTCTCTTGTCTTTACAATTTACAATGAGGACATATATATAGGATCTCACAAGTTGAGACTCCTAATGAGTAAAGGAAAAGGAAAAGGAAAGCATCCCTATACAAGGAAAACTACCAAAACAATATATACACAAATATCTCCAAATATTCTATCAAATATTCTACCAAATATTCTCTTTCCTTTAACTATATATATATGTGTGTGTGTGTGTGCGCGCGCGCGCGCGCGTGTGTGTATGTATGTATGTATGTATATGGAGGTGGATCTTCATTGTAATCCAATGAACATAATTATTAATCAAATTGTTCATGTTATCAAAGTCAACCCTAGCCTAGTTTCTCAACTCCCTCCTTGCCGATCAGCCCCTCTCCTTGCGCCAATCATCTATCTCGGTTGCCCATATGTCTCCCACCGAAAAATTAATCACTTCATTTAGGCCAAATCCGCCTCACCTTTCTTTTACGAAGGTGTCTAGCCTCAAATTTCAAGTTCCAATTCAACTAAGTTTTTTCGGAACCCAATAATAGAATACTGAGTCATCTCTTTCTTCTTTTTATTAAGTGTTTCAATCTTGAAGGCTATCTCACCGGCTCCACTACTCCCTCTAGCGCGGATGACATTGAATAGCTTTAACTTGATGCTCTCATTCGGCTCCACGATTACAGATGAAGTCTCTGATCTAGTTATCTCCTATGCCATCACGGTTGCCAACCTTTGGCAAATCATTCATGATCTATTTGATGACAATAAAGCTGCTCGTTCCATGCAACTAGAGAACAGATTTTACAACACTGTCAAAGGCACCACATTGATCAACACTTAATGTCAAACTCTCAAGAACATCACCAATTGGTTGGATGGTGTTGATGCTCAGTCACTAAAAATCAGCTCACTTTACAAGCTCTCTGTGGACTAGCTGAGGATCTCGACTATCAAGTTTCATTTCTTTAGTTTCAAAAGTCGATGCCTACATTCGTGAAGTATCAGTGCCGCCCCTCGCCTAACAGTGGTGAGGGGTCCACTATCCTTGTTACAACATCGTGACAGGGGCCCATACTTCAGTTAGATGGGAAGAATGTAATTCATCATGGCAACTTACGGGAAACCATTTATGATAGTTAGTCATATGGATTTTAGGATCCCTCTCATTCCTATTATGTAGACAAACTCAAGAAAGCCTTATATAGGCTAAATCTGCCACCTTATGTAGACAAACTCAAGAAAGCCTTATATAGGCTAAAGCTGCCACCTTGCTCTTGGTTTTAGAGGTTTGAAATGTTGGTATTTCACGGATGTAAGAATAACAAGTCTCTCTTTGTGTAAATTCATGGGACAGACATGGCCTACTTACTTCTTTATGTGGATGATATTGTATTCACTGCTTTGTCTACCTCTCTCTTGTCTGAGATTAAACATTGTTTCAATGAAGTATTTGCCATGATTGATATGGGGGAACTTAACTCCTTTCTTGGTATCAATGTCCAACGCATCAGAGCTGGTTAATTTCTTCATCGGACACAATTTGCTCATGATACCCATGAGCAAACTAGGATGCTCATGTGCAAGCCTATCACCATGCTAGTTGATACCAAGGCCAGGTTGACCGCTTTGTTGGGTTCTCCTATCACCGACCCCTCTCTCTATTCCTATATTGTTAGTGCACTCCAATATCTCACCTTTACCCGGTCGAACCTCACCTATGCAATAAAACAACTTTGCTTTCATCTCCACAATCATCAGAACACTCATCTTACAACATTGAAGTGGTCCTCTAGTACTTACATAATACGTGACTCATGACATTACTATTTCTCGCTCCACTATTGATTCCTTACATGCATATTCTGATGCGGATTAGGCCGACTATCCTGATACTCACCAATCAACCTCTTGATATTACGTCTTTCTTGGTGATAATCTTTACTTCTGGTCATATAAAAGGCAAGCCACTGCTTCTTGCTTCAGTACCGATATTGAATATCGTGCCCTTGCCAATGCAGTTGCACAAACTAGCTGGATATAAAATCTTCTTCTTGAGCTACATCTCCCTCTACGTCGTGCCACTCTTTTCTTTTGAGATAATATCAAAGCCGTCTACTTATCATCCAACCATGTTTAGCATCAATGCACAAAGCACATTGAGATTGACATTCACTTCGTCCAAGATTAAGTGGCCCCTGGACATGTCTGTGTTCTTCATGTCCCCTCTTCCTCTCAATATGCTAACATTTTCATTAAGGGGCTCCATCACTTCTCTTCACAAATTTTTAGGACAACCTTTGAGTTTGCCTCCATTGCCAACGTAGTCGAAAGCATGTTAAATATTGTTATATTTATATGATTCTTATAAATTACTCCTGCCATTATTAAATCTCTCATTTTGTATGTATAGGAAGGTGGATCTTCATTGTAGTTCATCGAATATAATTACTAATCACATTCTTAAAAAATCTCCTTCATTTTATAAAAAGAAAAAGAAAGCAAGAAAATAGAAACAATTGAAATATAAAAAAACTTAACGAAGAAAACATTCTTTTTCGGATTGGGGCAAAGGTGTAGTACTTTTAATGCATAGGGAGAAAAAGAAAGAGAGTGCTGATTAAAAGCAGAGAAGGACTTTGCTAAAATGACATTCACTAGAGGGTGGAATAGATGGGTAGGACGTGCGTTTTACAAAAGAGAATCCATCCGCCTTTTCTGGACGGGATCCTTTGTCCCCACTTATAGTTTCACCAACCAAAATTTTGACACTTAATCCACCTCATGTCTTCTGTTATACGGATTTCAAGAATAACAATATAAACACGAAAAACACGACAACAGATTTACGTGGTTCACCGATAAATTGGATACGTCCATGAGGGAGAGGGGGAGCAATTTTATTATGGAAAGGTAAGAACAGAATACAGCTTAGTGTTTCTGATAGAATACACACACACATATATATATAGCCCAATACAAGGCACTACAACACCTTATTGAATACAAACTAACCTTATGAGTTGGATAGGGAAACATATTTACATAGGTCTCAATTTTATTTGGCGAGATAGAGAATTGAAACACCATTTGGAGATAGAGGATCCCGACTCCTTTTGGGTTGGGTGTGGTAGGTGTCAAATTTTCTTTTACCTATGGGTAATTTTTCTTTGAGCTAGTGCTGGTGGTGGACTTGGCGCGTCTTTCTTGGCGATTGGAGGAAAAGGAAATTTTTTAGATACTCCATAGAATCTTTCCCGAAATTTATGAATCATGTTTTGTGTTTGATGGAAAAGCATCCTCAGCATTTTCAAAAGAAATGGTTGAAAAACTAGAGCCCATGATAATGAGGTTTCAAGGGCTATGTCTTTCATATTTTTTCTAAATTTGCACTGCCAACAAATGGAAAATGGAAAATGGAAAGATTTATTGATAAACGTTCATCAACAAACCATCCACAATATACATCTGTTTAAGAAAACACAATACAAATAATATATTCAATATTAGATTTACCATAGAAGTACACTCTTATTTAGTTATTTTTATCAAATTTTTCCCCTTCCCTTCAGAATGATTTGAGCACTCATTTTTTTGTATTACTAATTTTATTTAAATTAATGTGATGAAAAGAATCATTGAATTTTTAATATTCTTAGTCATAGTCATAAGATCGTTAATCCAAGATTTTATTTGTTAATAATGGAAGAGAAAAGAATTAACTTTTGTAATTAATACTACATGATCATTTTTCGCTAATCTTAATTAATGTAGGGGAATCAATTTTTTAATCGTAGAATTCTAAGATATATAATTCCGGATGAGAAATGCTAGAGTCACATATATTTTAGTCACAAAATACACAACCTTGCCATTTGTGCACCTCACCAAGTGAATAGAATGATGTTAAATAATTAAAAAGTAGACATTTAATTACACAAATAGTAAGTTTGTGTATTTTGTGATCAAAGTGTTTGTGACTCTAGCATTTCTCATTCCGGATTCATTAAATTAATACGGAGGAAAAGAGTCATAGGATCAATATTGTGTTTTATATTAATATTTTTTAAATTTATATCGAGAGAAGAATATATATATATATATATATGTATGTATGTATGTATGTATGTATGTATGTATATATATATATTCAAAAAACCTAGATCGTTTATATTTGACGTTTAAATGATTATACCCATATAAATCGAAAATAGTTTTATTCCACCCGTGCATAACACAAGTTTAAATACTACAGAGTACTACGTAGTTCAAAAATAATAAGTTGTGCTTCCTCCGTCCCCAAATGTTTACCACATTTTTAAAAACGAGGTAAAGTATCAATTTTTTCAATTTTTTATTTAAATATTGATATAGTAGAAATAAAAAATAAAATTTATATATTTAAAAACTACATGAAAAATTATTTGAAATAAGAGGTGTCAATAATATTTTATTTTATTAAATAATTAATGAAAATGTTCTGGGATGATTGAAAAAGAAAATATGACAAATATTTTGGAACGGAGGTAGCATAATAGTCAACCATTGCAATAAAACGTTTTGAAATCCAAAAAAAAAAAAGAATTACTTTACAGAGATTGCTCAATCCCTTTTTGACCATACCAATGGAGGGACTAGAGAGTGTGATTGATTATACTTTTTCTATCCCAAAAAGATATTACCATTTGACTTTTTAATTAAATTGTATTACATTTTAACCACACATTAAGAAAGAATTTATTTAGTTATAATTTAAGTTTTGTAAAATTAAATTCATTTAAAACATAGTTTTGATTATCAAATCTTGATAAATTTATTTATTTAAAATTATATTTATTTTATAGTCAAAGTATTGCACAGTTTGACAAAAAAACAAACCCTGAGGTTCTTTTTGGGACAGAGAGTATAATTTTTCTCTGCTCCAAAGAAACTTTTTATTTTTCTTTTTTTGTTCATTCTAAAATAAACTTCTAATTTTCTTGAGGAATAGAGTGAGTGATCCACAATAATTCTTTCCTTTACATTAACAAATGATTTTAAATTAGAATAAAATGTTATCAAAATATATTTTAAAAAAGAATCGTTGTTTTTATCTCTAAGAATAATTTGACATTGTGATAACAATATAATAGTAAGAATGATGACGGTGGGCGAGGGTAGAATGTGGTGGTAGAGTTGGTGGCTGCTTATTAATTACATTTTCTTAGTTTAAGATAACGTGACTAGGCATTAGTTGCATTTTCTTATTTTTAGATTTATTGCACTTTTAGTAAAGTATAAATATGACATTTCACTCTTTAGTAACCTACCAATAGACAAGAATTTCCCAAGATTTCTACTTCCCATAGGCCTACGTACACGGCTTTTTCCCCTTCTAAACGGGCTTCTCCATATATATATAAAGCTAAGCAGGATGTAAAAATTTTAACATTGAGATTATTATTGGGAATTCTACGGTAAAAATACTAGGGGCTGTATTCAATCAAAATTCTGATAGATTTTTTTGAATTTTGAAAATCCATAAGTATTCAATTCGGAATTTAAAAAGTCATTTAAAATCTGCATGTATTCAATTCAAATTTTTAAAAATCCTTCTAAATATGATGGTATTCAAAAAATGATGGATTTTTAAAGATTCAAAAAAAAAAAAGTAGATTTTGATGGATTCTCAAGGGTGGGATTTTGCAGACTCCTATTCTTTTTACGCAGGAACTCGTTCTTCATCTTCTCCATCTTATCACCTTCAATCCTTCCCTTCATCTTCAAGGTAAGTCTTCTCTATCGTTTTACAACTTGTTTTTCTCTCCAGTTATCAATAATTTGTTCAAATTAAGGTAAATTCTAACATGATTTTGGAGTTTTTTTACTGAATTTTTTTATGAATTTCAAACCCTAATTTCCGACCCGGAGGGAATGCTTCTCCTTTTCACTGAATATCTTTATTTCCGACCCAGAGCATCCAAAGTGGGGAGTTTTTTATTGGATTTTGTTTTCCCAATCTGTTCCAATGGTAACCTTCCCAATTATCTTGACACGTACCTTAACAGACGTAACCTTCCTCCAGTGCGTAACCTTAACAGACGCCCAATGGTACCTTCCCAATTATCTAAGCTTTACTCTAATCTATTTTAATTGATGGAAACATTGTAATTGATTGTGTATGTTTCATTGATGCATCACCATTGGCTCTCCCATTTATGTTTTAATGAACTTTACTGTCATATCACTCATATGTATTCCTTTCCACCAGTCTGACTGACAGTTTAGTGCCCGTTGTATCTTGACATGTAAACAACCTGCTTGCATTTTAAGTTCTTTTTTTCAAATTTGTTAACTTTTTTAGTCACATGAAGCACATGGTAAGTTAAATTTCATTCCGTGAAAACCTAATTGATTACTTTGATTATAGATTAATTTCATCTGGCACGCGATGCTTGAACTAAATGTTTATTGATTGAATATGTGTTCCATGGAGTATTTGGGATTCAATTTATTTTCTAGGGTTTTCTTACTGCGCAGTTATTTGATTTTGGGTGTGTTAAATTATATGTTTGATTTGTTTATAGTTTGGCCTGATGCATTCCATTCGGTTCCCTTGTAGTTGAATTAGTGATCAGCTGAATTTATTCATTCATAATCAAGTTCTGCACAATTTTCCTTCTTGTAGTCAGCTTGTAGAGGTTGAAAAACAGTTTGAGTTTTGTTCCTAATTTGGAATTGATTTTATGAAATTTTTCATTTTATTTTTAAACCTTACTTCAAACCAATTGTTGCATTTTCTTTAATGAAATTTTTTACTCCTGCATCTTATTTTTAATTGTTTCGTGTAGGGCTGTACTCCTACGTTTAACTATTTTTGTCGATTTTAACTTTTTTTTGCATGTCCCATTATTTTTGTCTTATATCATATTTAGTAACTTTTGTGTGGCTTAGTAACTTTTGTGTGACTCGCGCTTGTTCTTATTTGTTCATTTTGACTTCAATGGGATAGAGGGAGTATGTGTTAGAATTTGGAATTTGTGTTTGGGTTGACTTTAAGTGTATACTATATGATTTTGTATCAATGCTTTGGATTAGTAGTTGTTCACATGATTTTTAATTTTAATAGAAGAAACTAGGGGTGAGCAATTTAACTGAACCAACCGATTAACCGATACAATTTAATCGAACCGACCGTAATTTTAAATTCGGTTTCGGTTTTCGGTTTTAATGTCTAAAATTTTTCGGTTAATTCGGTTATCGGTTTCGGTTTCGGTTCTGGGCAATGTTAAACGAAACCGACCGAATAACCGAGCCCATAATATGCGTATTGAATACATGTAAGCCTAGACCAAATCTTTTAAGTTATATAGCAGACTTAAAAAAACCCAATTCCCAACCCATCTCCCAATTTCCCAAGTCAGCCGCAGCCAGCAAGTCCCAAATCTGTAGTGTCGTTCTCGGTCCTCACCGGCAATCACCATCTCCCATTCTCCCGGTTCCGGCGTTCTCAAACCGACGCCAAGATCTAATCGGAAATCACCATCTGGTATCACCAATCGGCAATCATTGGGTTTCTTCATTCTTTTTTGTTGCTAATTATTATTCTTTGATATGCATTATTAGCCATGGCCGACGATCATCAAAAGGTAGTCACCAGTAATTGATCATAATGATTGAATTATTGATGCTAATTAGCCTCGACTAATTGAATTCTTTGAGATGCTAATTAGCCATGGCTAATTGAATTTGAAGTTTTTTCAAATTTCATTTTTCAATATTTGCATTTGGCAGTAGGCAGTAGGTTTCTAGGATGAAAAATTCAGTTTTTTCAAACCGACCGAACCGGTCGATTTTTTGTCGGTTCGGTTTGTTCAATTCTCGCTTTAATTCGGTTCGGTTCGGTCGGTTATTACGATTACTTTTAATTTTCGGTTATTTCAGTTTTGGGCCGAAACTGGCCAAACCAAACCCATGCTCACCCCTAGAAGAAACTGATCTCTTAATTGATCACTGTTTGGACTTTGAAAAATTAATTTTTATCTTGTTTATTAGCATTTCAACATCTTAACCCTGATTATGCCTAGATATATGTCATGTTAAGAGAATGATGTTAAAAACTTGTATATGAGATTCTCACGTTTTTTTTTTTTGCAAAAAAAAAAAAAAACTCCTTGGTGTAATTTTGAATTGGTGTTCCCGTGTGTTAGAAAAATAGATGATAGCCCATCTAGATTTCAAAAAATTAGTACCCTTGCATCATGGATGTCTTTTGAGAGGTATAAATTGATACAGTTTGTAGTATTTGTGCTATTAGCGGCTTCAAGAAAAATAAAAGGGCATGGCTTTGTCGTTACTGACATTGCTTTGTTCGAAAATGATAATTCCTACCCCCTAAACCCCTAACCCCCTCCTCAGCCACCTCCCTTTAATCACCTATTAGGTGGGGCCTAATCACGGTATTTGACTAATCTTTTTCAGTCCTTTGTCTTAGGTGAGTTTGGTTGAGTTCATTTGTTTTTTGGTGGGTATAACGGCCAACAGTCAAGCAACACAATCTCAGGTGAGTCAGGTATTTCTTCTAAGTTATAATCTTCTAAAGATTGAAGAAACGGCTTTTGACCTTCAGACCGTCCTGGTCTACAGTTCAGACCATACGAGGCTTCAAGCCATTCAAGGCTTCAACTTCCAGTCATTTCAAGTTTCAACTTCAACCTAGAAAGCTTCATTTGGTCGACTCCTCCCCCCCAAAAAAAACATCAACCTTATCTATCACAATATTTTAAGATTTCAAAGCACATACCAAATTCTCCATTTCGGTATTTGATTCTTAAATCTTAATGTTAATTCTAAATCTGTGTTTAAGAATAAGAATCCGTTTGAGTTTGTCCAATCTAAAAACCTTAATTTTCAACAGTTGTATAGTTGTATTTCTAATTTGTTTAACCCTTAAGTTGTATCTTGTATATGGGTAAATTGAGTTTTGCATTTTCTAAGTTTTGCAAGTGTGTTTCTCCCTTACTTTGGTTGCATTTTGTGTTTGAATTTTTTCAATCTAAAAATCTAAATTTTCTTAGTACTAATTATGCTCAAGTTATAGTTGCATGACATATTTTGTTTGAACTGTGAACTATTAAGTATGAACTTTGGAACTTTTCTAATTTGGTTGATGATTTAAACAAAGTTTCCTACTTGGTCTTGATCTTGGTTGTTTTTCGCGTCGTCTTATGGGGTATTATTTTTTACTTTATTATTTTGTTTTACGAGCGTATGCTTTGGTGGCTATTGGACTCATAGGTTTTTAACTTCAAAGTTTTTTTTTGAAAACCACTTCAAAGTTAATAATGTCATTTTTGTGAAAATAATCAAATTCTATGCGCATATTAACAGCCATAAATTTGAAAGTTATAACGTGTAAAACACAAACATAGTCGTACCCATCTTCTCAATGTATGAAATGCACAAATGACCATGTGTTATACACGAAGATATGAATGACCGTATTATACCCATATCAGAATAAGCTAATAGAGCTTGGCCAAATAGTTCCAGTGCCCCCCGTAGTTTGGAAAATTGGCATCAATACCCCATCTATTTTCAAAACTTACTTCTGAAGTCCTTATGGTTTCAAAACGTTGCATCTATACTCTCTCTAATCATTTTCCAGCAATTTTTGCGGTGAAGGGGGGGGGGTATTGGTGCATATTTTTCAAACCATAGGACGCACATGTGTTCATTTCTAATTTTTCGTTTATTTTTTGTTTTTCCCCTTTTTTGCTTTATTTGTTTCTTTTATTAATCAAGATTTTAAATTTCTTTCTAATTTTTTTATAATGCTCTTAAAATTCAAAAAATAATTTTTGTTTCAAAAAAATATAACATATACTACATTTGTACGTCTGAAATTAACAATTTTTATTTTTTGTTTTCTGAAATAAAAAAGTAAAAATTTTTTTTGAGAACTTCAAAATATAAGGAATAAAATATGAAATAACATTAAAAAATAAAAATGAATATCCGTTTTGGACATCCCAATTCTATGGACTTTTTTAGGCTTTCTGAAATTTTTTTGTATAAGACTCTTTTTTTTGCATGTTTCGATTTTTTTCATTTTGTTTTTCCAGATTTTTAATTTTTATTTTGGACTTTCTTTTTGAACTTACAAAAAAATTATTCTAGAAAACAAAAAATGAAAATACTTAATTTGAGATAGATGTATATGTTATTTTTTATTTTTATTTCAAACACAAAGAATTCGGAATTTTTTAAAACATTATAAAAAATTGAAAAGATAATAAAAAAATTATAGGAAAAGGAAACATATAGTTAAAAAAATAGATTAAAAAAGGAAAATAAAAATCAAACAATAAACAAAAAATAAAAAATGAGCACGAGTGCCCCCCTATGGTTTAGAAAACATGCACCAATGCCCCCTCTTTGCCGGAAAATGATCGTGTAGGTGCGACGTTTTTTAAATCACAGAGACTTTAGAAATAAGTTTTGAAAACATATGGAATATTGGTGCCAATTTTGCAAACCACGGGAGGTACAGGAACTATTTGGTCAATAGAGCTTGGATAAATTAGTGGTTCTTTTGTTTATTCTTATTTTTCACGCTTAGTTATCTGATCCTTCTTTTTTAAATTAAACTCTGTTCAATAGGGATTGGAGATGCTTCCAAATGCTATAGCAATATATGCCCTTATTTGCCGGTCCTGAAGATTAGAGTTTTGAGAGATTTTACTTCCCAATTCATAGTTTTAGATCTAAGCTGAACATGGAAGGACATCGTACCTGCAAGAATTGTGGATCCAATTCCATTTATTCAGATATTAGCACAGGCGATGTGGTTTGCAGATCATGTGATGTTGTTCAAGACTTTGACAATTTCCAGGCCCATATTGGAGGCATCAATGGGCCTGTTGGCACCTATGTTCATGTCGGTACCACGGGTACTGGAAATTGGTATAGTTATAGAGAGACAAAGATTTACGAAGCGAAGAAGGTGATTGATGATTTGATGTACAAGTTTGGAATTACAGAAAAGAAAGCAGATGATGTTAGCATTATGATTAGGACAATCACGGAGGACGAATACGGTCAAGGGAGGTGGTTTTCTGTGCTAATCGGTGCTTGCTCTTACATTGTCATGAGGATGGATTCGAAGGTCTTGCCGATGGAAGAGGCCGCGAATACGGTAGGGTGTGATGTTTTCGAAATGGGTAGAATGGTCAACCGCGTTGTCGACTTTCTCGATCTGGAATTGCCAGAGCTGAGCATTGTCAACTGGTTCGAAAAGGCAATCAGAAACAGTTCGAGGTTAAGGGATGTTTCCGAGGATACAATCTCGAGGATGTTGAAACAAGGGACACTTCTGCTACAGTGTTTGGTCAACTGGTTCGTGACAACGGGCAGGAGGCCAATGCCCGTTGTTGCAGCCGTGCTTGTGTTCGTCGCAGAGCTGAATGGAATCACAGTTCGGCTTGGTGATGTGGCAAATGAGTTGCACGTGGCGCTCAAGACTTGTAAGTTGAGGCATAAAGAACTTCTTGAGAGGCTTGTTCAGGTTGCCCAAGCCACATTGCCGTGGGGAAAGGATGTTAACATGAAGAACATAATGAGAAATGCTCCGTCCGTGATTCAATATATCGAGTTGAAGTCAATGTCAAACCAGAATGGAAAATGTGGAGAGAATTGTGATTTGAGTTTCTTGGTTGATGACTGCCTAACCGAGGAAAATTCGTACTGGTACGACGAACATGAACCCGAGAAAGATTCCCAGTATTTCCAAGCTAAAAAAGTTGACATTCCGGAAAGATTCCCACTTTCTGCAGAATCGTTTTCCACGATTTATTCAGAAGCAAAGAATGCGATGTCTGTGGCTAAGGCAGGCCCCACCGCGAGTACACGGAGAAGGACGAGAGAGGAATACGACAGTTTTACGTCGACGGGCTGGTGGAGCGGCGAATCAGACCTGAGTAAAGAGCTTCTTCTGAAGCAAATATTGGAAAAGAACTTGGGGATAAATGCCATGCCTCCTTCATTTGACAATGGCTGTTTGGTGACTGAGAGGAGAAGAGCAAAGATAAACGCGGCTAAGCTGAGGATTCATCGGACTATGTGTGGTCGTCCTTCGGCTTCTGGGGATGAAAACACCACTTATGATCGCATTGTGGTTGATAAAGAAGAAGTAAAGAAGATGAAAAGAAAGAGGAAAGGGGGATTTTGTTTGGACTGGGAGGATTTCATCATTGAAACTCTTCTTCTTCATAAGGTTAGAGAAGAAGAGATTGAGAAGGGGCATTATAAGGCTTTGCTGGGCTTGCATGTTTTCAATGGCGGCTGTTCATGATGACACAGGTTTTTAAAATTGAAACATGCGATAATTAGGCAAAGCATACCCATACTTCTGGATTACAGTCATTTAAAATTTGAACTTTACAGGCATTGTTTTGTTTAATTGATCATTATGACTTTTGTAACACATGATAAATTATAATACAACTATATGTGAATAGATGAAGTTTTACTTGTTCTCAATCTCTTATGCATTTAAGCATTACTCCATTTCATACTATTCTTTGATCATATTTGACTTTTCTTGATCAAACTTCTACCATAAAATGTAGAAACATTGCAGTGAGTTATGATACAATTTTATATCATTTTGAAATTCAGTTTTAAAATACTTTTCCAATTTTTATAAGAAATATTTATTTATAAATATAGATATTAATAGTGACGGTGTTGTATTCTTGTATTGGATACTTTGTATATTTAAATAAGATGAAGAATCTAGGATGAAAGTGTATATTTGTTGCTTTTTTGTGGATGCAAAAATATTCTATTCCTATTAGCCTATTACATCAGAATTGATTTTCCATCATGTTCGATGGAGCCATAGATTCATTATTCTTTGGCTTTGGAGTATGATGGAATAAAGCAAAATGACTTTAAACTATTTGTGCTTCTTTTGATTGGAAAGTAGCAGTTAGTTAATGCAACTTTCGACGCTCATCGTGGGTTATTTTAAACAGCCGCTTTATGTCTTAAACGCAATGGTCAGGCTGCGTATATCCGACCCCTCCCACCCCGCAATGGGCAGGAGCCTTTGAGCCACTGGGGTAATGTTGTTGTTATTACATAATTATCCAAGTCTTCTTTTGTTATGGGCATAATTATCCAACCACAAGGAATGACATGTGGGTTCTTGGTCCTTAGTGTGTCCCAGGGGATTTTTAACAGTGTTCTCCGTTGTGATGATAGAAACATTGAGTTTTGCAGATTACATTGTGGGTTACAGGAAATTGTGGCAGAAGGCTCCAAGTAGGCTTGGACAAACAAGCAAGAATATGGTAAGCATGATCTACTCTAAAGTTGGACTACAGAGTCTTTATTGAAATGAAGTGACTCTTAAATTGTGATTCAAATTTCAAAAGGTGTCATATTGAATGAAGGGATACTAGATCATGTGGCTTTGCTCATTACCTTCCTGGATATTCAAAAGCTCATGGGTCCCTTTGGGTTTTGTGATCACCAAATTGAATCTACACACAACTGATCTGTATTAAACACAAATGGGGTGAGGTTGGAGAAAGTCAGAAAGTGGCTGAAGTGTTTGTTGAGCATTTCATGGATGTGCTCGGGAAAATATCCAGAACGCCACTGGTTGGAAGTTCCTTGAGGTCTAAATCGTTATTAGTCCTCAATTGTCAATGGAAGTTCCTTATGTCCATTGCCTATGAAGCTAAAAAAAAGTCGTTTTTGACAATTTTTTAGTTTCGGACACAATGGACTAAATGAAAAATGATAAATTAAAGTTTCCTTGTTTTTCAACCTCTATGAAGTTTTTGGGCAGTAAATGCATCAATGCATTTAGGTAACATAAGCATCTTGACCCTTAGGAAAGACTTAGGGAAGGGGATCCCCTATCCCTTCCTTTGTATTGTAGGTATGCAGTAAGTACATTCTCTGTGAAAAGCATTGAATTTTACTAGCCTCATTTTTGGAGATGACCTAGTTGTTGTTGGCTATGTTGCATGGGTTCATCAAAGATTTGTTGGTTCTTGCCCTCAAAACATCCCCGTTTTGGGTACTTGGGGTCGCCCCAACATCCAGATTCTTTCGTGTAATTTTGAAAAAAATTGATGTTTCCACGTTTTCATACCCGTCCTAGTCTCAGGTGCAACTTAGGTTGTTGAAATCAAAGGGATTTTTTTGTGGCTACCCAACACTGGTCTTACTATGTGAAAATAGCTTATGACTCTGTGATTGGGCATATATATAGCTTATGACTCTGTGATTGGGGATATATAGTAGTGAAGCCTTGGAGGGTTGATATGGTCTGGAAGAGGTTATGTCTACAAAAATTGAAGTTTAACCTATTGTCCAATGGGAATATCTTAGTGAAATGGATGTAATACATTTTTAGAATGTCACAATTTTAATTGAACTTACACTCAACTTGGTCCAAGATTCTTCATTGCAGTGGACCTCCTTTATCATAGAACCGGCCCTAATCCTTAATTACAATGTGAATATAGCTTAATTATTATGATTAGATAGCTATATGACTAGATGATTGGAGATTATAAGAAGTCTTGTGGGTTAATATGGTCCGGAATAGGTTAGCAAGAGGTGACAAGATTATAAATTTGTAAGTTTTAAGTTGAAATTTATCATTAGAAAATAACTTCAGTCAAATATTGTAAACTGAAACGTGCGATATAAATTGGGACGGAGGGAGTAACATCAGATGGGTGTTTTGGAAAAATATTTAATTAGAAAAAACTATTTTGAAACTTCCTCATAGTTTACATTATGAAAATTAACAAAATATACTACAATAAATAATAATTCGATGGGCTTTTTTAAGGAAAGAATACCAATGGAATAAATAATAATTATAAAATTTTCACGTAAATAATTATTATTTTTTGAAGACTGGTTTGAAAGAAAAACACTTAATTATAAATGATCATTTTAGTAATTTATTCATTCTATTTAGGATGTAATTTGATCCATCAAATTTTTATAATATTAGTTTATTTAGAATTGTATTTAATTTGTGACCAAAATAACAAAGACGATATGATAATTTTGAATGAATAAATACAGAGTATATATTAATCCAATTTCCTTAAAATGGATGGGGGGAAACATGTGAGATGGAGATAAATGAAGTGAAAGAGATGCACATTCCACGCGTCTCATGAGTTCTTTCATTTCATCATCATCATCATTTATCATTAATATATATGCAACAAAAATTGAGTTGTCAATATTTTCCTTTTAAAAAAAATATAGAGTAAATTCCATAAAAGGTTCCCAGTTATAGGTCGTTTTACATATTTAGTCCCTACATATCAAATATTACTAATTTAGTCCCCAATTATTATATTTATTTCCACGAATGGTCCTTTGTTAACATTTTCGTTAAAAACGTGGGTAAAATTATAAATTCACATTTATTTCCACGAATGGTCCTTTTTTTGGAGTATCTAGTTTGTACCTCTTTGCCATAATAATTTTTTTTTGGAGTATATCACAGACACACACACACAACAATGTTTTGTGCATTTCACAAGCAATTATTGTTTGTGTACGTCTATGATACATTTGGTATGTAGGTTGGAGTACAAACAGGCGTACACTTACATTTAAAAAAAATTGAACCCAAACCCGAGAGTCTTTCTAAATCAATAAGCATTCGGGAGGTATTAATCAAATGGTCAAAAGGGGGTGCGAAAAAGCGCAATGGTCAGGTTTGACTCATAGCAAAAACAAGTGGGAGATAATTTATGTTTCGCGTAACCATTTTTTACTGGAACTAGAGACAGATCTCATTTCTTATTGTTAACTTGAAATCAAAGCTTGATTTATATACTCCCTCCGTCCGCCTAAGATCTTCCCATTGCGCGTTACGAGGCTTGACTAAATTTATTTTCAATTTAATTTATTTGAATATAGGGATAAAATTTTAATATAAAATCTATATAGTAATAAACTACATGAAAAGTTCTACAAAACTAGAAGTGACAACATTATATTATTTTATGAAATGAGTAGTAAAAATAAACAAAGTGAATTAAGTTTGACTCTGTAAATAGTGTCTGTGAAGATCTATGGTGGATAGAGAGAGTACTACGGAGTACTTTCTAGTATACTATCTGGATCACAGGCCTGAGGGACCCTCCAAGATGGGATGTGTATTTTTTTTTTTTTACAAATTAACAAGACCAACAGCCTATTAATAGCCTTTGACGCGAGACTACTACTGAGCTATCATATTTCTTTGCAACCAAAGAAAAACAAAAAAAAACAGTCCTAAATAAAACCAGCTTCCATTAATGGAACCAAAAATAGGGGCAATGCACAACAAATGCAGATCAAGAACAGGGGCAGAGTTGGGCCCCTGTTCGTCGCTGATCAAGAGCTTCTCTGATTTGGAATACGAGGAGCTCAAAGGGTTCATGGACCTAGGGTTCGACTTCTCCCAAGACCCCTCAGATTCAAGACTGGTCCAGATCCTCCCGGGACTGCGGAAGCTAACGAAGAAGAAAAGAAGAAGAAGAAGAGCTGCGGGTCAAGAAAGGAGAATTGCAGAGATGATTTTTGCAGCAGGTCCAGGCCTTACCTGTCTGAAGCATGGGAGTACTCTATGAATAATGAGAAAGACATATTGGAGAAGAAGAAGAATGAGTGGGGAATTCCATTTTTGAGAGATGAATCTGACATGAAAGCCAGTCTCAGACAGTGGGCTTTCACTGTTGCTTCAACATTCAGATGACCATTTTTGCTCTGTTATGTCCTCCAAAAGGGAAATTTCTCAATTGGCTATCCATAATGGTAATAAGGGTTTTTAGAAATTGTTTATGAACTATATATGTACCAAATTGCTGAAAAAATTATACTCCTTATTTAGTTGGGTATAAACTTTAAATTCATTAGATTAGTTTTGAAATGTACCTTTGAGAAATAGAGTGTCATTTTTATTTTTATGTTTGTTATGTTCGAGTTTTGTTGTTTACTCCCTCCGTCCCACTGTCTTTGTCCACTTACCTTTTGGCACACCATCCAATGCATTTCTTTAATCCATTTTATCTTGTAATTTGTATATTAAAAAATTATAGAAATTATATACTGTAGTAATAATCTATATGTTAAGACGAATCAAACAAGGTCACACATGACTATTTTTAGGCTTACACATTGAGAGAATTTGATGAGTCAAAGTGCTTAGATGAACAGTTCCAAAAGTCAAACGTGGACAAAGACAGTGGGACGGAGGTAGTATTTTTTATTGGTTCGGAATTAGTTGTCAACTTACATTATTTATAGGAGAGTGTGATTTATGTGAATGCTTATAAGGTTAATGTGTATAGGACGATGTGAATGCTACTCGAGTAAAAGTTTAGAGGATGGTTTGAAACTAACTAATGCAAGGTGAAAAAAAAATGGTATTCATCCGTTACGCTAACATTAAGGAGCGAGAATGCGAGATGAAAATTTTTAAAGCTTACCAATTGAAGTCGTTCAACAAATCATTCAAAGGAAAAAAATATCTGAATCGCGGGAAATCGGCTTTTAATCGAGTAAATGTGGTGATCGGTGTGTCGAGATTAGAACGGAAAGCTACATTGTTCTTTTTTGGTTTGAAGGAAAGCTCCAATTTTTTCTTTACTTTTTTGAAGATGGATTTTTTTTATTAATCTCCTACATTGTCTGTGATATCACATATTATTGGTCAAAAAATGACACCCCAACTCTATCATACATTGTGCCTCAGTTACACTAATGTCGTCTTTCTACAACTCGGAGTCAGCTTTTTTATGTGCGAAGGATACGTGATGAGATCCTAGCCCATCAATATGCCATTTTTATGGATATACCAATGCTTTGTCCAAAGCCAAAATACGGAGTACAAAATAGAGTAGTGGAAATAGGCCGCCCACATAAGCCCAAGTGAGAGTAAAGAGAAGTAGCAGACAACCCATGATAATAAGAGGTAGCGGTTCTAGCCAGGGGAATGCCTCGGTTCAAATTCGAACCGGACATGTTTGGACCGAACCGAGACTAAATAAGAGCCAGAATGAATCAGAGACCGGACGGAATAAGGCAAGGATCAGACCGAAACTGGACCAAAAAAAATCGGACCAAATCGGGACCCAAATGAGTAAATATAATTTTTTTTAATTTGGTTTTATTTATTTAATTTTAAGTATTCCGATGCACAAATTTGTTACTACTATAAATTTTCAATGTGTAATATTCACTAAAGTTTTCAAATATTGCGGAGTATTATTTTTAAATTTTTAACAAAATTTAAATAAAATATATCCTCCATCCATCCCATAGAAAATGTGTTGGAAATTTTTGTTTTCCATACAAAGTGCTCTTCTTCTTATTGCTTACCTTTTTTATAATGTTTTTTTTTTGTGTTTTAAGTTTATTTTGGTAATTTTTATTTTTATATTTTTTACTGTTTCTGTTTGTGAGAATTTTTACAATATTCTTTTTTGTTGATTGTAATTTCCTTACTGATAAAGTATAAACTTATGTTATAATATTGGTTCATAAGTTAAAAATGCATTAAATTGCTAAAATAAAAATATTGCTGACTTTTTTCATATTTTCATATTAAAATTTAATTGGATATCATTAGAGTTTGTATCTTATTTTCAATCGGACTATTTTAAAAATATGTTAAAAAATAAAAACATAACATTTGAGAAAACCCTTAGTTTTGATGTTAAAGTAAAGTTACAAATATAAGAAAAATTTTAAAAACTATGTTATTAAATTGGATAAGAAAACTAGTTCACTGGTCCAGATTGAAACTCGATGGATCGATTGAAGATAGAATAATTAAAAAAAGAAAAAATACCTTAAATAATTTCACCTTTTCACATTTTCCTAAAAATAATCTCACTTTTCACTGTCCGGAAATAATCCCACCTTTCCGCATGTGCAAGATTTGGACCGTCGTTAAAAAGCTAACAATCACTTAACGGAATTTTTTGGAAAATGCATATTTTTCGCAAATTAATGAAAGGTGAGATTATTTTAGGTAAATTTACTTTTTTCTTTTATAAATTTTAAAAGTTATGTTTTTAAAAATATAACAGTAGACTCTTCTTAGAGATTTGTCTCAATTTATTTTAAATATTATGATTTACAAATTTTGTTTTATGTTCTAGTGGAAATATAATATTGGATTATCTAAAAATAATTCAGAGTATCGCTCGAGAAAAAATTGCAATACAAAAAATTGTAGTGAGTTATAAAATTATTTAGTTCCATTTTGGAGAAAAAATATTGTGTCATTTTCACAACTTTTGAAATATTATTTTGGTGAATTTTTTTTACTGAACTACCGAAAAAATCACAAGTTGGATAGTTCCATTTTAGAAAAATAATACGGGTAATAAAAGATTATCAATAAATATTTTGGAGTGTTGTTCATGAAAAATTTGGCAAGCAACAAAAAATGCAGTGAGTTATAAAAATAAAAGTTCCATTTCAGAAAAAAATTATTGTGGTATTTTCACAACTGCTGTAATGTTCTTTTGTAAAAACTTTACATAGAATTATCAAAAAGTATTCACAAGTTTTATAGTACCATTTTTTGAATGTAATGATAGTTTAATATCAAAAAATAAATCGAAGTGTTGCTCAAGAAAAATAATTACAACTTAAAAAAAAATATAGTGAGTTATGAATTAAATAAATTAGCTCAATTGTGCAGAATAATTTATTGTTCAATTATTACTAGATTATCGATTGTTGAAAAATAATAATTAGTTTCACTCTAAAAAACATTTTTAAAAAATACATTTAAATTTAATGTCAGAAATTAAAAAATGAAAAAAAAAAAATTTACCTAAAATAATCACATCTTTCATTTATTTGCGAATAATATGTATTTTTTTAAAAATTCTCTCCATTACCTTTTTAACAGCGACCCAAAACTCGCACACATATAAAAAAGTGAGATTAGTTTCAGTAAGAATGAAAAGTAAAATTATTTTTGAAAGATCCCGAAAAGATAGAATTATTTGAGATGATTTTCCCATAACAAAATCTATATCTATATACTATTTAAAAGCAGGGGAAATGAGGAAAAAGTTTCCCGCCCAAAGTTCTATCTTCTCTTTGTCGTTGATCGGATATGATTTATAAATCAAGGGCTATAATTTCATTTTAGTTGTGGCCATGTGAATACGATTTAATAGGACGCCGTCAACTCATTATTGTTTTTCCTCTCATTTGCACTTTTCTCCCATGTTTATACCAAGCATATATTTACTTTCCTAAATGAGCATTGTGTAAAGTCAAAATATAAATAAGTCAAGTAAAATTTTATACCCCGGAGTAATTGATTCCTTAAAACTAGGGACATTACATATTTAATTTTATATTACCAAATACTACTTTCATGTTTGAGTATTTATCCAATTTTAATTTTTTATAGTGAATTACTTTCAACTTTGATTTTAAATTAAACAAAATATTTAAAGTATATCAATATCAATATCGAAAAACATTCTTTATAGTAATATAAGTAACGAAGCTGTTCAGGAAATATTAAAAAAGTAATAAAAACATTGCTTACATTTTTACAGTACATTTATGTAAATAAGTTTTTAGATGAAGTTTTAGATAAGTGTTGTTATAAAAATGAGTAATGTTAGAGTCACAAACAAATAGTTCACAAAATTTATAAACTTGCATTTTTAATATTTTTCTAAAAATAAGATGCACTCAAATAATAAAACATATTTTAATTTAAAATCCATAAAAGGTAAGTTTGTGAAGTTTATGAACGATTTCTGTGTAACTCTAACATTTTCCTATAAAAATATATCCTGATGAATATTTATTTCTTATCATTAAATATTTTCATAAGTAAATGATATTTCAAGGACATATAAATGCTTACCATTTTCAAATAAGTGGTTTTATTACAATGTCTAATGTAATAATACATATATGCCTAACAAAAACATTATAGTTTGTACTGTACATTTATTATTAATTACGATACATAATGTCATTTTTTATTAAAAACAATTTGCATGTCTATTTCCTTTCATATCCATTCTAGCCAGTTATATACTCCATCTGCCACGGAAAACATGAGAGTTTTGATTTTGAAGAAGGATTTAAGAGGAGTGTATTTTGATATTGAATTTCCAAAAATGTCCTTTGATGTGATAGGTAAAAGTATGATTTGATGGATAGATTATTAGTAAAAAGGTATGACGTGATATGTAGGGTATGAAAAAGTAAGGGGTAAAAGTGACTTTTTAATAGAAATGAAAAGTGTTTTTTGGGACGGATGAAAAAAGAAATGAGAAAGGTTTTCTGAGACGGAGGGAGTATATTTGCTCCACCCGTGAATTACTATCATCGATAAAATTTTTTTCTACCACGCGCTCCACCTGTGGATCACTATCACCCGTTAATTTTTAGCTTCTACCCAAGTTTAAAAATAATTTGAGTACTCAAATTTTAAAATTCATTTCATACTATACGTAGAATTGTCACAATTATTTAGATAGAATTAATATCATGCGCGGTTCAACTTTAGAGATTATTTGTAAATCATAAAAGTGACCTAAATTTTAAACGAATGCAATTTTTAAATGCAATCAATAAAAATTGATATTTTTCATTTTTAATGTTTTTAAATTTCAAACACAACGTAATTGTTCAAATTTGTAATTTGTAATCTAATTGATGTATAATATTATCAATTTAATGCAAAGTTTTTAGTTTTACACTGAATTCTTTAATTACTATATATTTGTATTTGTGTCAGTTATTTCATTATTTACTAAATACTACGCAAGTTTCATTCTGTACCTATTAGTGTACTGTTAATGTGGGGTTTTTTTATAGGGATAGTAATACAGTTCACAAAAAAATTCAAACTTCAAATTGCTCTAAATTTTATATTTTGATTTAATAAGCTATTTGTTGTTATTGTATTTTTTTCAATATTAACGCAATTAAATAATTTTATATTGGAAATATTAGCCGTGCAACGCACGGGAGTGATACTAGTTGAAAGAAGAAGGGAAAGGAACCAGTCTGGCCCCATTTTGTGTGCATTTCGCTCGGTCCGGGTCCAAATTACAAACCAAATAATGAAACACCGCTAGTCCTGGCGGAGGCTGAGGTAAACAGAACTCCTCAAGCTCGACCACAATGGCGGAAACAAGACGGCTGAGAGGCCATAAAGCGGCTGCCACGTGCTGTATTGCTTCCCGGAGCCGCCCTGGTCTTATTGCTACTGCGGCCGAGGTAACCATTTTTCTTTGTCTCTGTCAGTAATTTTTCCTTTCTCGAAATTTGGGCAATTTATCCTTACTCGCTCCTTAAAGGACTCGAATTTGAGATTTAGCTATTCTCGTTTTCTGACTTTATAATCCTTGAATAACTCTTTCATTTGACCACAATTCAAACATAGGATGGCAATGTTTGCTGGTTTGACATGCGGTGCAAAGATGCGGTTTTTACTATGGATGTTGCCAATCATAATCCCATTTCCTCGATCTGTTTCAAGCCAGGTTCCTTGCATTCTCCCTCTTAGGTTTCAATTTTTATCTCTATTCTTGCACTATTCCTTCCCCATTTTTTTTCTGTTTTTCTGTGTTCTTCTTGGTTAGTACGGAGTAGTTATTACTCCTTAATATGGTTGCATATTATGAAATCTTGAGTACATATCACCATCTGGAGCCTACTTTTCTGTGGGATTTATAACCGGGTTTGTTTGGTTTGGTATTATGAATGTTGTTAGTTGTTACGATACGATAACGAAATATTGTATCCCATTTCTCGCTTATAGTTAAATTTTGTAAGTAAAGACATTTGATGGGAAACAATGACCCAAATGTAGACATGTGATCAGAAAATGGCTTTGAGAAAATATAAGAAAAAGAAAACTAGTGTTAGTTTTAGGACAGTGTGCGATTTGTAGACTACATTTTTCAATTTCTTGATGCATTACAAATTTCCTATTTCATTGTTCATTTATGCTCCTTGGCTCTCACTTTGTGCAGGCAATGAAGATATAATTTATGCATCGTCAGGAAATGAAGTCAAGTGTTTCGAAGTGAATATGGTATTTTCGGATTTTCCCATTAGTTATAGTCTTATAAGAATAGCACAATGTTTGATTCTACTTTACTATTTATAGAAATTAGTTTATAGAGGTTATCTTGTTTTAATTTTTTGATTTTGTTTCTCTAGATCAGTCAATTTAGAACTTGTGTACTGATTTTATCAATTTTATGTTGATGGATTGATTGGTTAGCTTTTGCATTGAATGCATTACATTACAATCTATCCTCTATAGAATATTATATTTTACTGTTCTTTGTATTGTATACTTTGATCTTTGAACGTTGAAGAAAGTTCTGTGATTATTATTTTGTGCTTGATTGAAAATATCTCTAGGGTAATTCATCAAAACAGCTGGAGAGCTACAATTACAACAAGGATGAAATAAATCAGGTTGCTGCCGTTTCATTTTTGTTATACATAGTAGTAGTTAGTGCCTTCTCTGGGAAATCTAATTTGTCAAATGGGTTATACTGCATGTGCGATTTAAGTACTCCAAGTAAAGTTTTGTGAAATATTAATTGAACGAAATGGTCATATCTCAGAATATAGGAATTCTCTAAAGTATAGAAAAATACCAGAGATGTTTAATTACTAAAATTGAAAAGGTAAACCAAAACTGTAAGCATCATTTGTAGGCAAACATGCATTTTTGCCCGACTGCAATGACCTGACCACATGCCCTTGCTATAAATTTGTGGAAATAGAGAAGTGAACACTGTCGTAGGCTATCCAGAAATTGTGGCACCTATTTGAATTTCCATATGCACAATGCAAGTTTTTTTGAGGAATGTGCATGCTGTGTATTTAATACAGAGTATGATTTTACAAGTATCTTTTCATTAGTTTGAGTTGTTTTCGGAAGCAGATTGCTTGCACTGTGAATTCATCATTCCTTGCTGCTGCAGATGATAGTGGGGATGTTAAGGTATGCTATCCAATTGTGGCATTTCCAAACTCTCATATATTAGTTTGATAGCATGCTTACCTTGTAATAATATATTTATAATGAAACATAGCTTCATGAAAATGCAATTTTAAATCTTTACATAGTAGTATAGTACACATGTCTATCAAATGAAGTGTCAGGTGATGTAGTACGACTCATTGGTTCAGTAGATGTAGAACCTAACATATTGCTCTTTTCTTGTTGATAAGTTAAAACAGTTACACTAATAATATAGTCAAGAGAGTGCCAAAGATTTAGAACCCTAAGGTCAAGTTTAAAGGCCGTTAGGCATTAGCCCATAAATCATTAGTTTGATCATGTTCCTACCCTTAATTATAAAGGTCCTAGTTGATGTTTCTGTGAGTTCTTGATGCATATTGTCATGGTTGCTTCGTTGCAGATAGTTGACATCCGTCAGCAATGCCTTTATAAAACTCTAAGAGCTGGTCATACAAGTGTATCCTTTGGCTACTTTCAAGTGTGTCTAAGCTATAATTGTTAAGTACATTAGTATCGTGATAACCTCTTTCCTTTATAACTGATATTTCTTCATTCCTTTTCTATATGACTATATGAGCTTATCATCTTTGATATCCTTCACTATCTATTTAGATTTGTAGCAGTGTTCAATTTGTTCCTTGGAAACCTTGGCAAGGTACCTTTGTAATAAATATTTCCAAGTATCCAGTAATGCTTAAAATGAAAAAAAATAATAATAGCTATTTAATCAAGAGAAATAAGAACAACAACAACCCAGTATAATCCTAAGTCCCAACTCCAACTGCATTGGGATGTGGGGGGTTAGGATGTACACAGTCTTAGCCCTATAAAAATAGAGAGGCCGTTTCAGTTAAACCTTAGACACATTGGTTCTCTTTGGCCAAAAATTTATTCTCTCTTCTTTAAACGAAACAATTACCATAATAGATTTATACAACAACAACGAACCCAATATAATCCCAACTTTCTTGAGGTCTAGTACCGCATATGGAACCTTGCCCGTGTAAAAACATAGAGGCTGTTTCCATTAGATCCCTGACACATTACCACATTTACTGCCCAAAACTCCATAACTCCATAAGAAAAGTAAGAAGAAAGGGAAGTGTAATATGTCACTTTGATTTAGCCAATTATTTACCCAAAGCTAAAATTTTGTCAAAATGACACTTTTAACTCCATTGGAAATGGACATGCAATAGATTAATACAACAACAACAATTACAACAAACCTAGTATAGTTCCAACTTCCTTGGGATCTAAGAGGGTCAAGATGTAGGATGTACACAATCTTTCCCTTCAAAAACAGAAATGTTGTTTCCGTATGACCCTTGATGAATCAATTCATTTTACTATGAAAAACTTCTCAGAAAGTAAGAAGGAAAGGAAATTTAAGTTTCCGTTTTTATTTAGCCCATTGTTTACCTTGAGCTAAAACATTGTAAAAAATGACTCTTTTTGCTCCACTTGCAATGGACGAGACACATGATAGATTAATGATGATAACAATAAATTTTAAAAGTATTGTCTTCTTTATGTTGAGCACCTGACCCCTTGACTCCTTGAGAATTGAGATGGTAAATGAAGTCAAGTATTACCTCAAACTGCATAGATGTCTACCCTGGCCATCTTATTATTTTGACATTGCCTTTTCCATTTTCAATTAAAAGCTGCAGTAGTTTGAAACTGGCCTGAAATATCTAAATTAAATGCTCATTTTGCATCTAGTTTTAATGATTTGGTGTTTCATCCTTGCACAGTGCAGTCGTAACTGGTGGCCTTGATTCAAAGCTTGTGGTATGGGACTATTCAAAGGGGCGACCTCAGAAGATTGTGGACTTTGGTACAAGATCTTCCATATTCTCTTATAGTCTTCTTATTTGTTTACTAGTTATATTATTGGTTACTGTCTCGGTCGTGGGAATGTAAATATGTAATGTTTCCTTCCTCTGTCCCATAAAAAGAGTCTAATTTTGTCACAGTACAACTTCTAAATTTTTAGCAAGGTACAACCATTATAAAACATAAAACTAGCTTGTTTTCTTGAAATGTGTTATGACTCTTTTAATGGGACGCTCTGAGTACTTAATATTGGATTTTGTATATTACTGGTTTATATTCTAAAAAAACACTAGGCCTAAAGGGATATCAGAATATGCGGGGGTCAATTTGTGGAAAAATGAAAGATGGATAAGGGAAGCCCATAGCCTTGGTAGTGGGTGGCAGTTTTTAGATCCAACAACAACAAACCCAGTCAGATTCACAAAAATTAGGGTCTTGAGGAGGGTGTGTGTATGGAGACCATAACCCAATCTTAGATCCATCACTAACATTTACAATGATGCAGCAGAGAAACTTAATAAATCCTATGCATGGTATGGCTGATTGAACACTTCTAATTGTGCCATAGGCATGCCCGATGCAAGAAATGAAGAGAAAACGGGCCAGTGTTTGAATCCTGCGTTTGTCCATGCGCTGGCACTTCCTGAAGTTGATATGGTGGATAAAGTAGGGAAGATTTGTGTGGCGGCTAAGGGTGATGGCGTTGTTGATATTTTGAATATTGATTCTGATCTCAACTCTTCTTCTAAATCAAAACGCTCTTCTAATAAACCCAAGGACCCTTCCCAAGGGCAAAACTGGAGACTGGATCACACTCTGGGAAGGCACACTGCTGCAGTTTCCTGCGTGTTAGTTTTCTTTGTCCATTCAACACTTTCCATCCAAACACACCCTTAGGTCACGTCACAACTTGGCTTTGATAATCTCGTTTTTGTATCAGAGCATTTTCGGTATTTGGAGGAGAGAAGGGAAAGTTCATAATTTCTGGTGGGAACGACAAGCAAGTGAGGGTATGGGATTGGACAAAACTTGTTATTAATGATGGAACAAACACCAGCAGCAACGATCTTTTGAATCTCCAATTAAATTTAAGCAGAAAAGTGAGTTTTTTTACCATTTCTTTCTTTCTTGAAACATATGTGTGCTTATGGTTATCGACTCGTACAAATAAATTGTTCACAGGTGAATTGGCTCTGCACTGCGCCTACCGATTCTGATAATCTGGTTGTGTGTGACACTTCCAAAGTGGTTAAGGTTTACACCATTGCCTGAATGCATTTCGAATTGTGTTATTCCAAATACAAATATGGGCCCCACCAAACTGCACGAATACTAGAAAGGCAAGGATGGAAGGCTGCAATTGTTGTGGTAAGCCCATTCGTTCCCCCCCATTGTTATGCTCAGGGTTGATTGGATTGGATGCAAATTAGTTATAAGTGGCAAATTAGTTATTGTAAGGGGTAAATTAGTAAGTACTGGATGCATTGGGTATTGGGAAGATAGAAAGGATCTATCAAATCATACCTCTTTCGCCGTTTTCAATTAGAAGGCCGATTTGCTTCTACCTCATCATATTTCTTCTCTTCAGAAAAGCTTATACAGAGTTCGATAGCCTTTGATTTTTAAGTAGTTGGACGCTAGATTGAAGAATGGCACTTCGAAAGACATTCCAAGAATTTGAAGACTAGTGGTGAAAATGCATCGTCCGTCAGTTTGCAGACATTTACCAATTCAGAATTTTGTCTGTGTTTTGGGTTTTATGGGTACAACTTGGTTGAGTTTCAAGATTGTCTTGGAATGTCGATGAGGGTGGTGTACAAAAGGGTGGTGTTACCAATTCGTTGTTGAATCAAAAGAGGGTTGAACACATGAATTAGGCATTAAACTTATGGTGGCTATGTTCTATGACACAAGAGAATTGTGTTTAATGTTGTATGACTATTAATGTTGCGTTTTGGAGATGAAAGGAACATGGATCGCCACACGTCTATTTCACACTAGGTTGCACAACGTCACGTGATAGGCCGGTGCCACCTCCGGTACAGCCCAGTTTGAGCTACCGCCACCCAACCAGAGTTTACTATTAGCCAAAGTATTGGTCGGCAAAGCTAGTTGGCGACGATAGTGCACTACCGTCATGCAATAGTCAACTACCGTCACCAGGTTAATTTAATGTGTGTGTGTGTCTGTGTATACACACACATCATTCGTCCTAAAAAACAATATTTATTTCCTTTTCAGGACGTTCCAAAAGAATTCTTTTTCCTTTTTTTGGAAAACTTTGAGTGACTTGCAATTTTTCTTGCACTTTTGCTACACTCTTAACCACACACTATTACTTTTAATTTCTCAAACTTTGCGCTAAATTAATTTGAGACCTCTTTTTATTGGAGAGAGTTTACACATGCACACAGTCCCTCCGTTTGAAAAAATAGCTTCCCCTTTTTTCGTGCGTCCTACAAAATTTTTCTACATCATGTAATATGTCTAAAATATCTCCAAATAAGTTTTACTTGCAATAGAGGATAGATGCACTGTCTTTTAGACATTTTAGGTGGGAATAAAAATGTCTATCAAGATGCGCAAAAAATGAAAGTGAAAATATTCCTTAAAAGAGAAAATTGATCCGTTGGAACATTGGAATTGATTGAGATGTATACACACTCCATTCCGGAGTATCTGTCCACTTTTGTTTTTTTACCAAAATTGGTAAGCTTTGACCCTAAACTAAATAAAAATGATATAAGATATTGATGCAAAAGTAGTTTTATTAAATTTATTATATAAAATATTTTTAAAATATTCTTTTATCTAATTAATATAAAATATATATTTTATTTAATTATAGGTCAAAGGTTAAAAATAGTTGATTGAGTTTAAAACTGAACAAATACTTCGGAACGGCCGGCTGGACCGGTAGTATATACGGAGTAATTATATATATTTATGTAGCATACCCACCAAACATAATTAATTACCATTCCTTAAAGTTACGGTAAACTAATGGAGTATTAACAAAAAAAAAAAATCAAAAGAAAACGACATTTCTTCCTCTCCGATAAAAGCACCACCACCAACCACCACCACGTACCCCGCCCTCCGCCATCCATTGCCCTCTTTATTTATATTCGTTTAACTAGCTATAGCGTCCAAACTATGAGAGCAGGGTAGTCAAAGTTTGGTTTTAGAAGATGATGATGGCCCAGTCCGACGTCGTTTCCACATCGTCCTCCGTTTGTAATGGTATAGTTACTCTGTCCCAAAATTTTCATCTAATTTGAGTTTTTTTAAGTTAATGGAAGTGTATGAATTTCGTTCATCAATTAATTAAAGATTATGTTATAAAATATGATATTTCAAACCCACGTTTTAAAATGAATTACTTCAATTTGTAGTTTTTTTTAGCACAATTGTAGTTTATACTCAAATAAATCTATTGATACTAAACTTATTTAATGATTCAATACAAAAGAAATTCTTAATTTAAGGTCAAGAATTATTAGGGAGTATTATACTTTTGTGATGTTGAATCACTCTCATGCCATAACTAACTACTGGGTAATTAATTAACATTTTAGGTGATGATGGAGTTGCAGAAAACTCTGCAATAATGGCTGATGGAGAGAGAGCGGAATCAGACCACCACCAAATAACTACAATAATGGCTGCTCATCATCATCACCCCAATAGCACTGATGATGAGGTATAGTCATATATATGTGTGTGTACATACAATTTACTATTCAAAATTTATGGGTAGTTTTTTTTTATTTGTGCGCTTTAATTGATTATTTGATAAATTAAAATACATTGAAAAATTGGAATAAGAATAACCAATAAAATTTATATATTAAAAATTAAATCAAAATTTCTACAGAATATGAGGCAACAAGAAAATTTTATTTTATCAAATACAAAATAATCAATGAAAATACACAAACAAATAAAAGTTATCGAAATGTAAATCCTAAAAAACAAGATGATCGAATAAATGGGAACTTAAATGAACTGAAAAGTTGATGTGAAAGAGAAGAATTTACAACAACAAAAAATTGTGAAAATCAAACATATACTCCGTAATTTGATTGAGTGGCATGGTTTTTCTTTGCATGCATGAATAATGTAGAGTACGTACAATAATGATGAAGGGGGAAAGCCGATTTGGAAGAATAGAGTGGAGAGTTGGAAGGAGAAGAAGAGGAACAAGATAAACATTTCTTCATCATCAGCAGCTTCCCAAACAACTGAAGAAAAGCCACAGTAAGTAATCATGAATTAAACATGTTGATATACACTAGAAAATAATTTCATTAGAATTATCTTATGCAAAAAAAGTATATAGAAATTTCATTAAAAATGAAATTGTTTAACTATGTGGAATTTGCATTACGTAGTATTAAAACAAACTCCTTCCGTCTCGGAGTATTTATCCATTTTTTATTTTTTTTTGTCAAAATTTGGTAAACTTTGAGGCTAATTTAAATAAAAATGATATTCGATATTGATACAAAAATAGTTTTATTAGATTTATTATATAAAGTATTTTTAAAATATTATTTTATCTAATTAATATAGAATATATATTTTACTTAATTATTATAGGTCAGCGGTTGAAAATGATTGACTGGAAAAAGTCAAAACTAGACAAATTCTCCGAGACGGATGTAGTATCTATTTTGCCAATGTAGTACCTAAAACTTTCTATTTCCCAGTGGTGGTGGATATTTACTTGAACAATGTCCGGTGGACATTGAACAATATAATGGTAATACATCGAAAAATTAAAACATATAATATTATATTGGGAAACTCACTATGTTTTAGTACCATATAGGAAACTTCTTTTTTATCTATATGAATAGTAATCACAAAAAAAACAATTGGAAGAGAGAGGGTAAATTGTAACCACTTCAGCTTAGTGGTGTCTCTGTATGCGGGTCAAATCTGTTGAAAATTAAGTTATTAATAATTTACAAGCCAGCTGATAACGTGTTTCACTTATGTGCTTATAAGCTAACCTCCAAGTCACTTATAAGTATTAAAAACCAGTAGATCTTACTAATTACTTACCTTTAAGTCAATTTTATTTGTTTCTCCGTTTTGACCAGATCATTTACAAAATTATTGCTTATCATTTGTGAATATTTCTAAATGACTTATCAATGATTTAAATGATTTTACTTCCTCAAGCAATATTTAACCTCTAAATAATTTTTAAATTAAAAATTTATTATCAATTATAAATCAGTAAGCACTTTAATTTCTTTCAAGATAATGACTAAAGTTGTGGGTGCAGGTGGGATGTGGAGGGTGGAGAGAGGCTATCATCAATAATCCCAATAGGGAAGGCCCAAATTGGGCCATACAGAATAGTGATCATATTGAGGCTTATAATATTGGGCCTTTTCATCCACTACAGACTTACCAATCCAGTTGAGAGCGCTTACCCTTTGTGGCTCACTTCAGTCATTTGTGAGATTTGGTTTGCTTTCTCTTGGTTGTTGGACCAGTTCCCAAAATGGGCCCCCATTAACCGCCGGACTTACATTGACCGCCTCTCTAATCGGTACTCTCATACTCCCTCCGTCTAATTTGATTTTTTTAATCGTATTATGTGTCTGTTCAAATGCTATTATTATTTTACATATTTTTATTTATCATTTGATTAAATAATATGGTCCTATCTTTTTTTCTACTCTGTAATATTGATTGATCTGTTGATATGCTACGAAGTTTTTAAATTCGGAGTATATATTTTTTGGTAATTTTACAGCAATGTTTAAAAAATGGTTTTAAAATAACATCACTAACATTGTAAATCATTCTGTCAAGAACCAAGTTATCTAACGGAATGAAAGAAGTATATTTTGTCCTATTCTGATATTTAAGCTTCTTATTTTCTTTTATCAGGATCTTTTTGGCAACAATTTCAACATTTAGCTTTGATATTTTGAAAAGATTATTTAGTATAGCATTTAATTTTTGGATATGCAAAATTAATCCGCACGAATAAAAAATTGTTCAAAATTAATGATATCACTAAGTTGTGATATTTAAATGACTAAAATTAAAATGTTATTGTTAAAATATAAAAACCAATTCTCATCAATATCGAAAAGATCAAAATTTATTTTGTCTAAGAATTTAAAAATGGTTTTAGCTTGAGAGAATGAAATTTTATGTTTTGAATTTTAAAAAGGAAAAATTCACAAGAACACTCTCAGAAATTAGAGATTTCACATAAATACTCCTAAATTTGTTTATTTACACCATTACTCCCACATTTCTCTTTTATTTACGTCGTTACTCCGCGATTGCTTCATCATCAGTGTTTCTCGGGTGCCTCTTTTTATACGGGGTTCTTCATCTTTTTTTATTGAATTCAAATTAAATTAATATGAACAGACTTGATACTAACATTAAAAAGATTTAAGAAGTTTGAAATCTCAATTTTTTTAAAAGTGATGAGAAATAAGGGAAATAATTAGGCATACTAAGCCGTGAGAAAGACGATGGAGAAAATAAGTTGAGGTGAATTTGGTATATTATAGTGGAAAAAATACATGTCTGCATTTTAACTATTCACTTAACACAAAAATGACACATCCAAGTAACACTAATGATTACTACCAAATTTGGGAGTAACAACGTAAATAAAAGAGAAATGTGGGAGTAATGGTGTAAATAAACAAATTTGGGAGTATTTATGTAAAATCTGTAATTTCTGAGAGTATTCTTGTCAGTTTTACCTTTTAAAAAAGGGAAATATCCATCTTGAGCGTCCTACATCTTGAGATGATAGTATAGTAAAAGGGTTAATTGCAATATAATCTTAATTTAGTTCTTCAATAGATCGTCACGTGCTCAGTGCGCACAAATGATAACACATTATTTAAAACTTCCATACCATCACAGTCGGAAATCAATCTTGTTTACTTAGACCATGAACTTAATACTCATATTTTATGATGTAAGCTATCCGTGCTCGTAGCTTCATGTGTAAATTATAGATTTTCTTTCTCCTCCTATATCTTTCATAGGCTCAATTAGATTTTGTTTCACAATTTTCAATACATATAATGATTTCAGAGTAAATTTCATAATTGGTTCTTTATAACAGGAAAGTTTTCCTATTTAGTCCTCTATTATCAAATATTACCTCAGTGATCCTTCTTTTATGGGTATCTTTCCACAAATAGTTCTTTTTGATCTTCAATCATGTTAGTGTTAATTTGAGGGCTAAAAGTGTAATTTCACAATGATAATATAGTATCTTTTTTGTCATTCACAATTCCAAAGGCTGTTCCATTTGCGTCGTTTGTTAATTACAGTCGCTTTCTACTAAAACCATAATCTATAAATGTGGTCTTTCATCGGAATTCTAGCCCACAATCATAGTTATTATTTTTGTGTTATCGCTTAACCAATATCAGAACACATCACTAGACATAATGTTGATGTCAAATTATATTTTTAGCCTTTAAATTAACACCAACATGGCAGAAGATTAAAAAATAACCATTTGTGGAAAGGCACCCTTAAAAAGGACTACGGAGATAATATTTAATAATAGAGGACTAAATATGGAAACCTCATATTATAAAAGACTAATTATGGAATTTACTCATGATTTTATGTATTAAGGTTATAAAATAAACATTACTAAACATTACAAAAGAAATTAGCTACCTAAATAGGGAGAACATCATTTTCTACTCATTTACGTCTAAACTTGGAACTTGCCGACCCAGGTATGAAAGGGAGGGAGAGCCGAACGCCCTTGCCGCCGTCGACTTCTTTGTCAGCACGGTGGATCCGGCGAAAGAACCGCCGCTGATCACGGCCAACACCGTCCTCTCCATCCTGGCCGTCGATTATCCGGTGGACAAAGTTTCCTGCTATGTCTCCGACGACGGCGCCGCCATGCTTACCTTCGAGTCACTTGCGGAAACCGCCGAGTTCGCAAGGAAATGGGTCCCCTTCTGCAAAAAGTTCTCGGTGGAGCCCCGGGCGCCGGAGTTCTACTTCTCACAGAAAATCGATTACCTCAATGACAAAGTGCAGCCTTCTTTCGTCAAGGAAAGGAGGGCTATCAAGGTGACGAATTCTGCGATTTAAATTAAAGCAATTTCTGTTGGATTAGGTTTAATTCAATTCGAATAATTCCGATTTTCTAAGTTCTGAGTAAAAATAGAAGAATCTTGTTTGTGAGTTACAGAGAGAATACGAGGAGTACAAAGTAAGGATAAATGCTTTGGTTGCAAAGGCTCAGAAAACACCGGAAGAAGGCTGGGCCATGGCAGATGGAACTCCTTGGCCGGGAAATGATTCAAGAAACCACCCTGGCATGATTCAGGTTGGTTTCCCTTGATTTTGACCGGATCCCAAAAATATTGGCTTTTGAAATAATGTACAGAACCAAAAGTGTTTTAGCTGATAGTTGAAATAAAAACAAAACCATTTTCCCATTTCAGGCTTTCTTAGGAAGCACTGGAGCCCATGACATGGAAGGAAATGAACTCCCAAGACTGGTTTATGTATCCAGGGAGAAGAGGCCAGGGTATCAACACCACAAAAAAGCTGGTGCAGAAAATGCTCTGGTAATTATTATAGCCCCCACAACTTTGGAGCTTCTATTACGTTCTTCTTCGTCTTGTGTTCTTACTTTCACCACCATCATCACGAATCACGACTTGGCTTGGTTTTCCTGCAGGTTAGGGTGTCTGCAATTCTAACAAATGCGCCCTACATTCTCAACCTCGATTGCGATCACTATGTTAATAACAGCAAGGCCATCCGCGAAGCGATGTGTTTTATGATGGATCCACGTGTTGGTCGTGACTTATGTTACGTGCAATTCCCTCAGCGATTCGATGGTATTGATAAGAGCGACCGATATGCCAACCGTAATGTCGTATTCTTTGATGTGAGTAGTAAACTATTTTAAAAGATTGGATACAATCAATTAGATAAACTTACACATGCCCTTATAACCACGTCAAAGAAATCAATTCAACTAAAAATTCAATCTACTTTGATTTCAGGTGAACATGAAAGGATTGGATGGAATCCAAGGGCCGGTTTATGTTGGTACGGGTTGTGTTTTCAATAGGCAAGCACTTTACGGTTATAGCCCTCCATCCATGTCCAAAATACCGAACCCTTCATCTTCGTCGTGTTCATGGTGTGGTTTGTGCTGCTGTTGCTGCCGCAGAAAGAAGGCTATGAAAGAGAAGGATGCTGCGGAGCTTTACCGTGATGCCAAAAGAGAAGATCTCAACTCTGCACTCTTTAACCTAAGGGAAATTGAGGGTGAGTTCAAGTGCATGCTTGGAAACCAATGAATAGTATACATGCATGTATGACTGTTAAACTATCACGCATCGGAAAATTAGAGAGAGAATAACGAATGAGTTAATAAGGCCTTGAGTTGAACTAAACAATCTTTGGATTCAATCTTTTATTGTGGTTTGGTTGAGTGTCTTATGACCCAATTTGACAACTCTTATCTTGGTTTAAATTTATCAATGAGAAAGTCATGTTTTTTTTAATATCAGATTATGATGAGTATGAGAGATCATTACTCATCTCTCAGATGAGCTTCGAGAAGACGTTTGGTTTATCTTCCGTATTCATAGAGTCCACATTAATGGAAAACGGAGGAGTTCCCGATTCGACTGATCCATCCACACTCATCAATGAAGCCATTCATGTCATCAGTTGTGGGTATGAAGAGAAGACTGCCTGGGGCAAAGAGGTCAGAAATGACACAAGTTTCTTTAAAATGTATATTAACTCTGTTTGGTAGAGCTTGGATACAACCTCTCTACTTTCGGGTAGGGGAAGGTCTGTCCCAGACCATGCCTCCGTAGGACTTTACTGGGGTTCTTTGTTGTTGTTTGTTTTGTTTGGTAGAGCTTTTTTAAAAAACATTATCCTTCTCACTTGCTTCTTGAAATGTATAAATACGTACAAACACGCCCTTAGCTTATTGTGACCATTCTTGTTCTTTAGATTGGTTGGATATATGGATCAGTGACCGAGGACATCTTATCGGGCTTCAAGATGCACTGTCGGGGATGGAGATCGATTTACTGCATGCCCGTGAGGCCCGCGTTCAAGGGATCAGCCCCAATCAACTTATCAGACAGGCTGCACCAGGTCCTCAGGTGGGCTTTAGGATCTGTTGAGATTTTCTTTAGCAGACATTGTCCATTGTGGTATGGTTTTGGAGGCGGCCGCCTGAAGTTGCTCCAAAGACTTGCCTATATCAACACCATTGTCTACCCTTTCACCTCCATTCCCCTTGTTGCTTACTGCTCCTTGCCTGCTGTCTGTCTCCTCACAGGACAATTCATCATACCAACGGTAATTGTTTTACTCGTTTATCTTTCCATTCTACATTGAACAAATATAAAAATATTTGGAGGGTTACATTGGTTCCTCCCCCCCCCCTCCCCCCTCCCAATTTTAGTTGACTTTGGAGTCAAAATTACACATTGTTGTGAAGCTGATAGATGAGTTGTTCTGGCATTGTATGTGTATAATCAGCTGACGAACCTCACGAGAATTCTGTTTCTCGGATTGTTTCTCTCCATCATTGTGACGAGCATTCTTGAGCTGAGGTGGAGCAGGGTGAGCATAGAGGACTGGTGGAGGAATGAGCAGTTCTGGGTGATCGGAGGGGTTTCAGCCCACCTCTTTGCTGTCTTCCAGGGACTGCTGAAAATGGTTGCAGGGATAGACACCAACTTCACAGTGACAGCAAAGGCAGGGGAGGACGCCGAGTTTGGAGACCTCTATGTCTTCAAGTGGACCACCGTCTTGATCCCTCCAACCACCATCCTCATCCTCAACCTGGTGGGGGTGGTGGCAGGCTTCTCCGGCGCGCTCAACAGTGGGTACGAGACCTGGGGCCCGCTGTTCGGGAAAGTGTTCTTTGCATTTTGGGTCATCTCTCATCTCTACCCCTTCTTGAAAGGCCTCATGGGTCGCCAGAATCGCACCCCAACCATCGTCGTCTTGTGGTCGGTTCTCTTGGCCTCCGTTTTCTCTCTCGTCTGGGTGAAGATCAATCCTTTCGTTTCCAAAAACGACCCTGCAGCTTTGGCTCAAACCTGCATTTCTATCGATTGCTAAACATGGAGGGAGCTCTATTTGGGATTATTCATGGTTATAGAAGTCTGAGATTATTTGTACTGATTTTGCCATTTCTTATAGAACATTTCATAAAATGGAAAGAGGCTGGAAACCATCAAAACAATAAATTAATGCAGATGAAACAACATCTATCAATGTTTTTATGCTCTCTACTAACTAACTATATCATGAAGAAAATGGTTTCAATCAAGATGGGGGGAAGAAGCGGTCCAGATTGAAAGGGAGGGTGTAAAACTCTTCGTTCCTGCTATCGCCTTTGAAAGCTCTGAACTTTGCCCACCACGGCATCCCTCTGTCTCTCCCACTGTCTCTGTAGTCGAGCGTGTTGTCCAGAAACACCGCAACTATCAATGCCACTGCCGGCGAGGATGAGAAAATCGTGTTCAGGATATCGTTGAACTGCAAAACACCAAACAGGAAAAAGTGTTTTTCGCGTCATTTTCTTTTCTGTTTCCCTTTCGAAATTCCTTGAACCAAACATAGTGCAAGTGTTTACCCATCCGGCGTTGGTGTGTGCGGGGCCGTAAGTGTACTTCCTGAAATACTCCGGAATCGACAAGCCGAGGAAGAGGGAGACTCCGACGATGAAGAGGTTTCTCATGGAGTTCATGTTTGTGAATTGCAAGAATGACAGCCCCACAGAAGCTGGAAAAACAGAGGAAAAACCCATCAAAACAAACCAACCCTCTTCAGTTACAATAACTTGATGGCACAATATTATATCATCTTGAGAGAGAGAGAGAGAGAGAGGGAGAGAGAGAGAGAGAGAGAGAGAGAGATCTAACCTACAAGGCCAAACAGGACACAGTACACAGCTGCAAATATGGTAAAAGGTATCGACGCGAACAAGGCTCCGAATTTCCCTGCACCATCAAGTCATGGATGGTTCAAGAAACAAATACTACAAGCTGAGCTTGTACTAGAGAAAGAGCCAACTCAATCAACCAGAAACTCAGGTTTGAGGTTTTAGGCTCAAGAAAAAGGTTTTGTTGTTGCCGAATTGCGCGCACTTACCTAGCATTGAAAAGAAGATCATGAAGCCCGCCGAGATCTGGATGACTCTGCGGCTACCAACACGAGTGCTTCCCAGAAGACCCACATTTTCTCTACACATACACATCATTTTTTGAAAAAAAAAATGTACCTCTAAATAAACACTGAAAACACAAAACTGATATGCCAAACTAGCTAGTAGTAGACTAGTAGTACTAACACTGAGACTGAAGAACCAGTAACAGTCCCAAACAGTCCACTCAACAGAACCCCAATCCCCTGAAGAAAGAAGAAAAAGACCGTTCACGTTACAATTTAAACTAGTTAAACGATTGGATTCAATTTTATAGAATGTAGGGCACGGTGTCTCTACGGACCTGCCAACCGATACCACGGCTAAGAACATGGGCTGGAGGTGGTGTTGCACTTGCCAGACGTGACGCCGCTTTATAAGCTCCAGTTGACTGCCAATTCTCAGTAAGTTATAGTATTAGTAATGTGAGCTACTTCTATTATTCACATTGAAATGGATCCTTGAGAGAAGAGCGTCTTTATCAACGGTTTCTGATATGTCAAAAGTCGAATGAATGTAGACATGATGTATGTCCGTATTCGTTCGACTTTTGATGTATCATAAGAGTCGTAATGACGAGTTGAATGTGAATGTGGAGAGTGATATATAGAGTTACCTCAATCATGGAAACAAGCACAGCAGCCATCATTCCAAAAGCATGGCCAGCATCAAAAGTAGGTGCACCCCACTGAAGTGGAAATGGAATTTTAACCCTGGAAACCAAAAAAAAAGATCATCATAATTGAAATGTAGGGGTAAGTAAATCACTTTTTTTATGTAAAAAGATGACATTGTTTAACGGAAAATGCTACTTTAATTCCAGGGATGACACCAAAGTCGACATGGCCAAAGAATATCACGTGCAAACAGTTATTGTTGTTTGTGATACACTGGCGGTGTCGATCTTGGTGTGACTGTAGCATGACCCTTGACCCATATGTTATTAATATATACCATGGGGCAGAAGAAATAAGGTAGGCTCTGTCGGTGCGACAGTGAAGCTGGGTTGCCTCCGGACGGTGTTTGTAGGCCCCACTTGCGGTCAGGATGTGTGCGTAAGCCCATATTACCGCTACTGAAATCACTAGACCAAACCGTTCCAATATCGGGACTTTTCTGAACTGGAAGTTCTTCAAGTACTGCCCATCCAGCCAGCCATTGTTTCAAAAAAACAAACAAGTGAGAAACCCTTTTCCTGGTCCGACAACCACAAGTTTGTTTGAGCTTTTGGTTGAGTTGACACTTGACGGACTGTAGTTCATCTTTCAGTTTGTTTTTTTAAGGTCGTGTTTGGAGAACACTTACCTGAGAGAAGACAACAAACAAGATGAACATAGGAATGCCAATTTCCACACATTGTCCAACCACGGGAAATCCTTTGTCGAATAGCCCGAACCCCACCAACGCGACAACTGGTACCATTCCGAGCGGGCTGAAAAACCTGAACGAAACACATATTAGTTAAATCATAAATACATCATTTTATGTCAGTTTACTTGTTAGACAACATAGTTTGATGACAGATTTAGAGCAATTTGATTAGCTTGTTTAGAGTTTTGCAAAATAAATATATTTAGGTGTACAAAGATAGGAAAAAAAACATTCTTGAAATCTCACCTAGAAAAGACAGCCCAAAGTTGACTATATCCCAATACGATTTGCAAACTGGAAGCCACTATTATTGCACCTTGTGTTGCTCTCATTGTGTTGAGGAATCTCTACCATAACCAAACAAATTGGCATTAACAAACATTCTTAGTTTCACTTCCAAATTGTAAATAATAAGAATAAAAAAAATCACACTACCGTTCTTTTGACACACGTTCTAGATGTCATAATATGACACCAAAGTCCTACGGTGCTCAGTTTGACTCGGGGCCGAGTCCGGTGTAGGACCTGGTTCCAAACCTAATTGAGCATCGTAGGACCCCCGAATGGCTCGGTGTCATTAGGCAAAAAAAATCCTTGTTCTAAAGGGTAATAAAAAGACTTTGAGAAAGAAAATGAAGAGTGTACGGACTTCATGGGGATCAAGAATGGTGGTGAAAGAAGAATCACGGATGATGGAGATGGTGGGAACTGCGAAAGCCCACGACCCTCCGACAACAGTGGGTAATCTGGTACCAAACAACGTTTGTAGAATGGTGTTGATTCCTTGGACGAACACAAGTGTTTGCACCACCCTCACTATGTCACCCTGTTTTCAAGAATAAAAGTGCCCAAAATCAATTCTTAAAAAGACAAAAAAAAAATTGTTTCCAAGACATGAAATTTTTTGTCAAAGCTGCTCAAAAATTCTGTATTTTATATTGATAATATATTATAGTAAAAAAATGGAAATACTGTTCTAAATTATTCTTAAATAATATATTATAGTAAAAAATGGAAATATTATGGCCTCTTTTCTAAATTATTCTTAATCACTCAAAATCAAAATGTTATTCTAGTAATTATTTTAATACAGAGGGAGTGTCAGAGTAAATTTTACAAAATTTATGAAGTGTTGAAAACTGAAAAAAAAGTGTGGTTGGAATTTTTAAGAAAGATTTTTTTTTGAGCAACAATTTTTTTTCTTCAAAAGGAAAATGAATTTTTTTTATGTGGACACAAAAAAAAAAAGAATGAATTTTTTAAGGTAAGTGCTGAGTCAGCTAATGACACAAGATCACCCACTCAAATTTAACACAGGAAAGCTCCATCATCATCATCAAATTCAAACACTTATTTTCCAGCCTTTTTCATTTATTTTTACACCCATAGAGACTCTGTCACTCTCTGTCTTCATTAATTAATGCACTGAAACTCAGAAAATAACCCCTTCAGATAACATTCAAAAAAATACTTTCTTCTAAACAAATTTGAAACTTTCACTTTTGACTGTATTTTTTAACACTTTTTTACACTTTGCAAAGTTAAAGTAGGTCAATATTTCATGGACAGAATAAGTAATAATCCTTCAAAAAAAAAAACTTACAGGATCTCCACCCATCATTGGAACTAGAAGTGATGGGATCATCACTGCAGTTCCTAAAGCCATTATATAATGCTGAAATCCCATTGCCATTGCTTCCCCTGTTCTCCACATTCCCCCAAAATATTAATAATAATAATTAAAATACTTCAAGCATTAAAAAATCATTGTGAACGAATCAACTTAACCAAAAGGTTTTAACTTATAATTGAAAAATTAGGAGAAGTATATATTTTAACAAGTCCTCTCACGCATTTGTTTGAATATTGCACGTGAACATTAATTTCTAAATATTTAAAAAAAATAATTAGCGCAAGATTTGAAGCCGCTCTGAACAAGAATCTTGATACCATATATAAAAGAATAAATTCAACTAAAATCTGAATTTTGTGGTTGAAGGTCAAAAATACTTTAAGTATACTCCATTTATAGGGTGTTACTATATCTACACCTACTTTTTGCTAAATCTACTCAATCTACAATAAATGCACAAGTTTGCCCTTAATAATAATACATGTAAGCCAACTTTAAATGACAAAGTTATTCATTTATCATGAATAAAGTGTGAATATAGTAACACCCTAAATTTAAAAGAAGAAACCAAAGAAACAAAAAAATTAAATTTTAAAAGAAGAAACCAAAGAAATAAAAAAAATTAAATTAAATTTGCCCATACCCCAAGAAGGATTGGAATCAATGCAGTACTCTAAACCCTGAAGTTGGTCCATGGGAGGGTGACTGATTTCTTCAGATTTAGGAGGAGCCGCCGCCATTTTTTTGGTCACTCAAACTTCATAAAAGGGTATTTCAAGAAACCAAAGAACACAAAAATTTGCAGAGAATTGGAACAAGAAGAAGACCAGAGAGTCAAAGACTGAATCTTTGGGTGTTTCAAAGTGGTGGGGGGGGAAGTATTGAGCAAACCAATGAGTTAAGTAAACTATTGGGGATGGGATTTAAAGACTGTCAAGCACAAGAAAAGAGCAGAAAAAAAGAAAAAGGAAATGGGGAGAAGGAGAGAGAGTGTTTGTGAGAAAAGGATATAAAGTGAGGAGGATTGATGTGGCAACATAGTTAACTTTTGACATGGGGTATATATAATCTCTTCTATCCAAATTTAATCGTCTCATTCTATTTCTAATATTTGTAATTCAAACACTTTTTTATTTTTGTATTTTGTTAAACATGCGTTGTAATAACATATTTATGTCTCCTCTTTTTTATGAAAATTTTGATATAGTTTTTTAGTATATAAATTTTATTTTAAAATGACGTACCATTGTCTAAATAAAGTAGACTAAAATAAACTCGATTAAATATCATTATGCGCAATAAACTCGATTGGGGTCAAATGGAATATATACTTTCGTCCCATACTACGCTTTACGATTAAGATAGCTCCCTTGATGTAAAGGAAGTCGGGTCATGTGTTATATAGCGAGACATGATGTGTGTAAAGAGGTATGATGTAAAAAAATAGAACTATGTGTAGTATGATGTGTATAAAGGTAAGTGTTGAGATGTAAAAGATGTAAGTTATTTTGATAGATTCAAACAGAGATATGTTAAATTTTATTTAGTTTGAGATTAAAAAAAGGGGCAACTCTGTGATAGCAATCAACCCAATGGTATGAAGTGAAGGAGGGCCACGCTTTCTTTTGGATTCACTTTCTCACCCAAAATCTTAAGTAATGGGTAAACTTTCATCTTTCTTTATACGGAGTATGAAAATAGTACTTCTTTTAATTATCCAGTGTAGGAAGTTGTCCAACACACAGACTCCAAACATACTCCCGAAAGAAGAGTTCTATTCAATAATTTACATTTATAACACAGACTCTCAACTTTTTCGTATTACAATTTTCAATATTTAATAGCCCTTCGAAAAAAGAAAAAAATTAAAGTGGCATTTTTGTAAATAAATAAAATTTTGGTTCCATTGCCAAAAAATGCACAATCTTATTTAAAGTATGCACCATGACTAGCAAAAAATAAATCATTCTAATTTTTCACAATAAAGATTATTTTTGCTGACCCTAATTTGCCTAAATCGATGGTTTGTTTTCGTAGTGCTACGAAGGTGTCCGTTAACTTTGTTTTCTAAAATTACGAGGATGCCCCTTAAGGAACCTCCAACATCCAACCCAATATGTTACCGTTAGATCGTTAATATCTGTTCAGGAGCTGTACTTTCTCTGTTCCTTCCCAAACTCACTACGGAGTATTTTTTTATATTAGGAATCCCTTCAAATTTTTGTTCGGTAGTTGTTGATCCAAGACCCACACTCCACTTTTGGATATCTTCTGGGTCTAAGTCCACTATTGTCCTTTCGTCTTGTATCTCTATTTAATTTATATAATATTCATTGTTGTTACTTAAAAATTTGTATAAATTAAATAAAAATCCTTATTAATCAATAAAAATAGATAAATAATAACAATATAACATTTTGTCTTAAAAAATATTATTTAATTAGTTGAAATTAAAAAAAAATTAAATCAGCGGTGCGGTGGATTGGTGGGACCACTACAATAGAAGTCGCGGCTGCCGTTTCGTTGTGCCCCATGTAGAGAGATTGTGACACATCACTTCATTCGTCTTAAAAAAATTCACTTTTATTTTTCACCCGTCTCAAAGAACACTTTCATTTTTAATTAAATTCAATCTTTATTTACATATACCCTTACTATTTCTTATTATATCATATCTATTCATATCGATCTGATCACAAGATCTTACTTTTTTACAGCGTGAAAAAGTTTTATGCGACAAAGAAAGTAATTTATAAGAGACACATCGATCCGATCACTAAAATGAGTTCGGATTTTAGCAACTATGCTAGAAGATATGATACTCAATGACAGAATTAACTTAGGACGTGATATGTGTAGGTCATCAAGACATTTAGATTAAGCCGCATTAAAAAGATAGAATTCAATCAATTATCTAATTAAATCGAGAGAGTTCAACTAAGCTAAAGACTTGCGAATTGTTAGGAATGAATAAAATTTTCAAACGAGGTGAGTCAAAACAAGCTTTGATACAATGCTAAAATTTTAGATGGGGTGTGAGTTACTAGACAAAGTCATAAGACAATTGAACAAAATCACATTAAGAAATTAGGTGTAATCGATTACTTGCTTTAATTTAAAGCCTTTTAAACCTATCAATTCTCCTCAAAGTTTCATTGTGAAAATTAACTGATTTACTCATTCTAGTTAAATTGCCTGGTCATGGACGTCCTCTAGGATTTAGGGGTGCATTTGAAAAAACTAAAAACTGCAAAATGAATTGAAAATTTGAAATCAATTAAACAAAGTAAAGTATTATGTCCTCTTGGGCGACAACCTCAAGGCCAAGTAACGTTTTGAGTAAGGCCAACGTGTAAGAGACGAGGCAAAAACCGGACACACACGATATTATTGTGAATCTTCAACAACAAATGTCGTCTCCCTTCCAATGTATACATGTGTTTTTCTTTCCATTCTAGCATTTTTAGTCATTATGCATTAGTCATTATTCAAGCAAAAATTTGTCATCACTAGACATTATGGACTTTATTAAGTGTTATTTAGGGAATAAAATAGTTTCAGTGCTATTTAGGGAAATGACTTAAGTTTTAGTGATATTTAGTGCAAATATTTCTAGAGGAATTTACTTAAATAACACTAAAACATAATGACTTTCTCTAAATAGCACCACACGTGTTTTTCTTCCCAATGTAGCACTTTTAGTCATTATGCATTAATCATTATTCAAGCAAAAATTTGCCATCACTGGACATTATTAACATTATTAAGTAAAAAGTACAACTTCTGTCCCAGAGTATTTGTTCAATTTTGACTTTTTTCAATCAATTATTTTTAACCTTTGACCTATAATTTAATAAAATATATATTGTATATTAATTAGAAGAAATAATATTTTAAAAATATTTTATCTAATAAATCTAACAAAATTATTTTTATATCAATATCTTTTATCATTTTTATTTAATTTGATGTCAAAACTTATTAATTTTGAGTGAAAAAGTCAAAGATGAACAAAAATACTTAGGGACGAAGGGAGTAGGTATTGTGTACTTATTTATTTTTAAGTCAGTTTTTTTCCGTTTGGACCAATTCAGTTGCAAAACTATTCATAATCATTTATAAATAACCTCAAATAACTCATCTCTCTCTCATTTAAGTCACTTTACAAAAAATACTTAAATAAACAACCTATAAGTTAAAACTTCTATTTATTTTTTTGACAAAAAAACTTCTAAATTTGATAAAGAAGGATTCTCTGAATCTTCTATATCCTCCCTCCCATATAACTTTTCAAAAAACAAGTGCACCTTAAAAAAGGAAAAAATTAAAGTAGGAGTAAAATATTGAAAATATACCAATATACCAAAATAGGACTTCCATGTTTTTATTCTCAAAATAGAAGTTAAAATCCATTTACATGGGTAATTTTGATATTATTTTCTAATTATGACTCCTCTATCCTACTATCATATCCTACCTTTTTATAAAGTAAGGACAAAATTAGAAAATAGTATCAAAATTACACATTTTTAGAGTGCGTACTTTTTCGTCTTTGAACAATAGCTTGGTCCTATATTCAGTGCTTTTGCACAATATACATTAACTATCCATGAATTGATTGTCATTTTCGGTGTTTTTTGCACAATATACATTACCTATCCATTGGTACTACATTCAGTAGGTACAAATGACATTTTATATATGCCAAGGAATTACCATATAAGTGACTTGATTAAGCAGAGTGGCCATTTCCACTCTAGACAACAGTTAGTAAAATGTCATATTAATCACAATCAAAGCACACAATAAGACTAAGAATTTCTTGACCCACCACAATGCCATTCAAGGAGTTCATACAAATGCCATGTATGAATTCAAAAATAAATTACTTCAAAACAATTAAAATACCATTTCTTTAATCCGCGCCCACACTCCGATATAAAAAAAAACCTCATGGGGGGCTCTAATTAAAAAGTTGGAGAACAATGCACTTCAAGTTTTTTGATGTTAAACCGAAGCGCGCAAATCAAATTCAGCGAGTGAATGAAAAAGAGCCTTACATTCTTGAAGGCTGCACTCCTACGCCTAATCAAGCGTCTTACCAAAGGTGAGAACCATGAGGAACAAGTTCCTACAAAAAAGATAATATAGATCAATGAGGTTTGATAAATAATGCATTTCTTGTGAAGGAAAAAAAAGGTTTTGACATTGTTACCAAATGACCCTTTAGTAGAAGTTACCTCAAAATAATGTCTGTTACTATGATGTTCGTCAAAAGATTTCACAGTGACCTCCCGTTTTGTTGGAGTATTAATAATTCCCCTCGGACTCTTATCCATTTGGTCCATATTGCTTCGCGAAGGCAGTGTTCGCCAAAGCCAAGATTCTGTTGGTGACTTAGGTAAGGGTGGACATGATGATTCTTTATTTCTTCCATTGCCACTTCTGTTCCTGTGAATGGTTTCCAAGTCTTTAGAGCCTTGTTTATTGTTTATTGGTTCTTGACTTGGGTTTTTGCTCCTTTCTGAGATGTCCTTGAACATTTCATGAGTTTTCACATACTTCAGAGTTGGCAAATTGTCTAACTCCTTAACAACCTTGGGTTTTGAAGGAAACGTCTCGCGATTTGGATTCTTTACATAGTTCACAGAATCTACATAAACAGTTTTCTCAACCACATCCACGGGCGAATCTGGGCCTCCTTTGCGAGTGTTCTGTGTATGAATGTCGCGATGAAGATAGCCTGCACCCTTGAAATTCTCCAGCTCTCTTGGCACACCAAGAAACTTCTTTGGGTCACTAAAATGAGACGAAGTGAAGCTCCGGATCGGAGATGCTGCAGCACTTTTGGACTGAGGCAAGTGGTTGGGTATGTTTCTTTTGCCCACTTTGAACAGCTCCCCTGATAAAGCCCTAGAATGAAATCTTTGCTGGTAATCATGTGATTGCTGCAGAGATAGAGGTGTTTTAGTTATACATATGCAAATCGAAAACTATGTATTCTGCTGGAAAAAAAAGAAGAAGAATAAGACTACCAAACAGAACCTACATGAGAATGAAGTTGAAGTTCCTACCTTTCCTAGAGGTCCACTAAAAGATTGTCTGTCATGGTTAAGAGATCTATTGAGAGCATTTCCAGTCTGGCCTTTAGGTCCCCTGATTGAGGGTGTGGGTGCCTCAAGATTTTTCATTTTTGATCCCCCGGAGGAGCTCTTAGAACGAAGCCTATTGAAAATCTTCCAAAACTTGTGTGGCTTTTTGTGTTGATTTTCAACCATGGCACCATCTGCATAGTCACTATAATAAGGCATGCCATAGGGCTTTCTTTCCACTGCAACTGACTTGTTCTTCGCCAGCTTCGGTTCTTCGGTGCCCCAACCCACAGCTTTGGCTGCAGGTACCATAAACGACTCGTCTAAGAGTTCCAGATAATCTGGGTCCTTACAACCACTTGATGACAAAGAATCGGTTAGTGATTCGAGTTCATCAGGACACGGGTACTCCCGTCTTTCCAAATCAAATTCCCCTTTCGCCCTCATGCTCTCTACCAAGCAATCAAGCAAAGCAGCATGGTCTTCGGGTGGGTGGGTTGCGTTGGTTTGAGACCTGGAAATGTTTTGGTGGTAATGGAGCCTTGGTGTGGTTGAAGATGAATCATCACCTCTAGCCTTTCCGGGTACTTGTTCCCAACAAAATGGGACTGCAACTGTCTTGTCTGTGACCTCACTCAACTCACAATCAGGTTGTGGGAACTGCTTTCGACTGCTAACAAGCGAATTTTCGGGGTTCTTTCTGGTTACACGCTCCGATTGATGACTACGGTTGATCCTCCTAGTCCTCACAGATAGAAGTGGGACATTCAAATTAAGCTTTGTTTTCTCCATTCCCAAACCGAAAACCGGGTATACTTTGTCTAGTTAGATAATGAACAACCCACTGCAATCAAGAATTCCAATAGCTAAAATCAGTGATCAAACCAGAGAAACAAAATGGTCACAAGACAACTGATAGACACTGCAAATGGGTAGTGCAAAAACTTCACTTGTGGAAAGAAAAACTGATATAACAGAGAAAAAAACACACCTAATAATCTGATATGCCATTTGCTAGACACGCAAAGATGACCAATTTACAGAAACCAATTTCCTCCTATGGGTGGGATATATTCAAGACTCTTTTTTTTCCCATAAAAATCAAGACTTTCTTGAAAATATAAGGAAATGTAAGATACCCATAAATAGAAATTGAAGCACAACTGCACAACCAAGAAAATAGATCAAGAAAAAAAAAGATGTAAATTCCAGCTCATGAAATCCCAAGATTTTCCCATACCTCTGCGAGGAAGGGAAGTCTGGTGTGTGGGTGATTCTTGCCTCTATTGAATGCGAAAATCAAGGGAGAATCAGAAAGGGGAGAGAGAGAGAGATGTGCTTTGCGTGGGACTTTTTTGAATGGGAAAAGTGAAGCAGACATCAATTTGAAGGGATGGCTTTGGGCACCCAAAGAGTTGAAAATGGAATCAATTAGGTCGCGAGATTAACGGTAAGCAATTATTTCGCGGCAACTTGTGTCTTTTTCAGACGAAATTAACAAACATAATTAACAAACATAAATGGGATGATGGGGGGATGTCAATGGAAAGATAATGTCCCGATTATTTTATAACTACTGGTATAATATTAGGGGAGTGTATTGTATACTACCCTCGTCCCGCTATATTTGTCCACTTTTGACTTTTGGAACTGTTCATCTAAACACTTTTACTCATCAAATTCTCTCAATGTGTAAGCCTAAATATAGTCATGTGTGATCTTGTTTGATTTGTCTTAACATATAGATTATTGATATATAATTTCTATAATTTTTTAATATACAAATTACAAGATAAAATGGATTAAAGAAGTGTATTGGATATTATGTAAAAATGAAAGTGGACAAATATAGTGGGACAGAGGGAGTATCTAATTATATTCTTTTAATACACCTATACGAAATTTAAAAGTTTAGTTGAATTCAATTTAGATTTTTTAAAATATACTCAGAATGAAAATTGTGAAATTTACATTAAATAATACTAAAATATATGTTATTTCCCAATGTAGCACTTAAATACTTTTATTCTCTAAATATTACGGAGTATTTGAATAATATCTAGTGTTGGGAACAATATCCAATGATGGTAGACATTTAGTTTGAAGAATATTCAGTGGCGGTGGACATTTACTTGAACAATGACTAGTGGTATTACATTGGGAAATAAAAATATATGATCTTACATCGAGAAAAAATCACTATATTTTAGCACTATTTAGGTAAATTTCACATAAAAATTTAGATGTATTCAATAGAATTTAAAATTTATTAGAAATTGTACAAAAATTGATGTATTCAATTGAGCCTTTTAATAGTTTACAGAAGTTGGATGTATTCAAAATATTATAAAAGTCATTGATTTTAAAGAATCGTCCATATTTGTAAACCTTTTATTTATTTTTACAATCATGCTAGGGGTACATCCTGATGTACCCCAAAGAAATGCACCGATATTTTAATGATTCATACTATAAAAAATTTTAGTTCAGTGACATTTTTTGTTAATTCAATTCATCACACTAATATCACATTAGCATAAAATATCAGTACATACTTTTGGGATACAAAACGGAATACGTGTACAAATGACTTAATCCTTATTTTTACACACTTTTTTCTCCACTATTCTCAAGCTTCATGAGTAGGTATTCTCGGTGGACTTTTTCTTTTCTCTTTTATGATATAACTTGATTAAAAAAATATGCTATAAAAACATTCTAATGATTGGATGAAAATGAGAACAATTGAGATGATTTGATGTCAAATTATAATAGATCTTTGATTTTAAAAAACTCAATATCAAGCTCGTGTGATTTATTCTATTTTTTATGTTTAGATTATAAAATTCAATTTGATTTTTGAATTAAAGGATAACATATTTATAACATTTTTTTTTGTAGAGTACTGCTTTGAAATTTTTAAATTCTGATATTTTTTCTAATTAAATATGCCAATGTTTTAAAAACTTTTTTTAACATAGAAATCATTTTTTTCAGAATCTTTTCTGCTCAATTTTTATAATTTATTGCCTATATCTCAAAATGATTTACCTCTCTACTAGTACAGTTTTTTGATAACTTTTGAGAAAAAGACTAAACTAGAGTAAACATAGAAAAAATACCAAAATAAGAATTTCATATTTTTTATCCAAAATAAGAGTAGAATGCTAATATAAAATATCAAAAAAAATAAAATGAGATGTCACTATACAATGTCATAGTGCAAACTTTTATTTTGGAGATAAAATATAGAACCCTTATTTTGAGAATAAATGCTACCATGGAGTATGTTTTATCCTATTTGGGGTGAATTTTTCATAATTGTTTTTGTTTGCATTCTTACATTTATAATTTGACAAAAGGAAATTAATCTTGTCACTTCGTCTTTTATAGAATTTTTTATTTAAATTTTAAATATGTAAGTTTTATTTTTTTTATTTCCATGACAATTTGTAAATAAAATAGTAATTTTAACCACGAAATTTTACACGTCGTTCAAAGAGAGAATATCATTTTTCAGACAAACAAAGAAGGTTAAAAAAATTGCTAGATTGATATGAATATCAAATAAGCGAAACAAAGGAAATTTGTGAATTAAAATGATTTTGAAACACAAAATCAACAAAAAAAATGTCTAATGAATCACAATCGTGTCATTCAACTAAGGTTGCGTTTTATTTGCCTTATCTGATCTGATGTGGTTTTTTGAAATTCTGATCTGCTTTGATTTGATCTGATCTGATATAAATTTGATTTAAATTAAAATTTAAAATATTATTATCATAGTTATAATAATATTAATAATAATAATAACAGTAAAAATAATAATAGAAATATTAATAATAGAAGTAGTAATAATAATAGTAGTAATAAAATTATAACTATAATAAGTAGACAAACACACCACGAGTAACAAAGTAAGAAAATATTAAAATATGAGTTTTAAACCTTTCAATACCAAAATGAAAGTATAATGAAAGCCTGGAGCAAAAATACGTGTAAGCAATGTAATGAAAAAGAGATGATAATATAATACAGTAGTGTTAGTGTGGTTAGTTAATGGTGGCTACCAACGATTGATGACAATGTGACAATGATAATGTGACATTTAGAGTGTGACAATGTGATGAATGTGACAATGTAAACTTCTAGCTTGGTCTTAAATGATTTTGAACTTCTATTTTGGTATTTTAATAATTTTTTATTCTTATCTAGCAAGCTTTCCAAAATATTAATGCTAACTTCTAATATTGTTGCCAAAGAAGATATTATATTTTCAAAGATGTGATGAATCTTTTATAAAATAAGTCTTTGAAAAATACACCGTATTATATGATTTTAAAAGTCGTCAAAATTGATTGATATTAAAAATGCCATAAATCTCGAAGACTTCTCCTAAAAGTCAAAAACTACTTTTGTAGACTTTATTTCATGCCATTACAATTCAAAAAATTAGCAAATTCCAAGGTGCATCTCAAGTACACATGAAGTTTTTTATGCTCAGTGATGTTTGGCATTATTGGCTTCTGGTAAAGGTGTTTATGCTCCCATTCAAAGTTATAAATGATATCCTAAATTGTTAAAATTAACTTCTCAGATTGATTTTGATAGTTAATCTTTTTAAATTTTGATAGTATATTATGAAAAAATTATATTTAATTTTTATATAAATTTAGTATTATAGATCCATTGTGAAATATAGTTTTAAAATATTTTAATTTATTTTTATAATATATAAATAGATATATTAATGATCAAAATATTGCGTTGAATATTGTAAAAAATCAAATGAGAAATTAATTTTAAGATGAAAGAAGTACTCCATATTTCTTTTATGGAATAGTCACTTGGGAGTTGGGAGGGCCAAGGAGGTTAGCATACCCAAAAAGTATCAATTCAATCAAAAACTTAAATTGTGGTTGTAGACCCATGAAAAAGTTTTACTGTAAATTCATGCACGTAGGTTCATTCAGGTACGTGCAAGCGTGGTCAGTTGATGTCTTGCACTTGAAAGTTGAAACTTTAAATTTTTAAGAACAAGAAAACGGTAAGTTTTGAACTCATGGTCACCACAAGGCCGGTTCTAAATCATGTCCATTATATTGTTCAGAAACTAATTCACAAGTTTATCATTGTAGTCTTAAGAAATGTTTGTATACGGAGGATTGTAACATAGCCTTGTGAAATCTGTAACTAGCTCCAATTCAAGATTATTTAAAAAAATAAAACATTACAAAGTAGATTCAAACTGTTTATTGATCGATATATGTTCGTTTGTTCAAATGGTTGTAATGAAAAATTATAAAATTATATTGATCTAAGAAACTCTAAAATTTATGCTATTACTCCGTAAATATTATAAAAATAAAATATATGCTATTATAAAATTATATTGATCTAAGAAACTCTAAAATGGTTGTAAGAGGGGGAGGGGGCACTCATGGGTACTACTCATGTACTGGCCAATCCTGTAATGTCATTTTATTTCTATCCTCAAGTACCCACAAATTAAACTAGAAAATCACTGGCAGCACCTACAAACAAGTACCTTAAAATATTTTATATTTTTTAAATTTAAAATAAATTAAACAATTAATTATAACCCATCATGTTATAACTTTGATACAAAATTTATATGGTAGAGGTTTGCTTTATGGCATCCTACTCACATAGTTGGGGTAGATTTGATTTGTGGTTTGGAAGCCATGACGCTTACCCATATAGGTGCCTCTTCCTCCCTAACAAGGAAAAATTATAAACTTTTTTTGATGTGCAAATAAATGATTTCATATTAGAAGCCACACTTTTAATTGAATTTATCTAAATAATTTACAAATGAAGATGCAATATGATTATACTCTCTGTCTCTCCCATCTAAACTATTTACATTTTTACTATTTGACCTTCTCAATAAATTTTATTTAATCGTGTGATTTTATTAGTCATTTGATAAAATAAAATATTCGTGTCGCATCTTATTTTGCAGAATTTTTTATGTAATTTTTAAATATGTAATTTGTACTTCTTATTTCTATACTAATTTATATTTTCTTCGTCGTAAAATTAACTTTCTGTTTAAATTTACGAGTTTTGATAAACTTTATTTTTAATTCAATTTATTTGGTTATATGTGTAAAATTTAAAAATAAATTTATATATTTGGAAACTGTACCATAAGTTCTACATAAGTAGAGTTAGATGATTGTCTTATTTTATCAAATGAGTAATGAAAATAAAATTAAAATTGAATAAAGTTTGACTGTATGAATACTAAGATAGTTTTAAGATGGAAGGAGTAGATAAATTCATTTTTAAAAAGAGAGATTTACCTAAATAGTACTTAAACATAGTGACTTTCCCAATGTAGTACCATATATTTTTATTATCCATTGTAATATCACTGTTTAATGTCCACATGTCATTTTTCAAGTATATATCCTGCGTCACTGGATATTGTTCAAACAAAATGTCCATCATCACTGGTCATTGTTTCTGCCACTATATATTATTCAAGTACTATTCAGAGAATAAAAAATTTTAAGTAAGAGGACATATATTTTAAAACTATTTGGTGCACGGGGTCGAACGAATTTTTTTTAACTTCACAATTTTTGTTCAATGTTTTTTTTGCACTGGATTTTTTTTTTCATTTCTTAATGCAAAACAACCCAAAATTGCATAGTTACATTAGTCATTAGCTACCCTTTTCTATTAAATCACATAATCTCGCAATACATAAAGAGACTATTAGTATAAAAAATAACTTAATTAGTAGCTTTCTCAGTTGCACAGCTGGTGTATAACTTTGTACCTTGCCCTCCATATTCTTTATATGCACGCAGCCCATATTGTACATGTTTTTGTTTTGTTTTTCTGTCCTTTATATGTCGTATATGGTATCTATCCATAACTGGTTTGAATGGGTTCTATCTCCCAAATGGATGCTTTATTAATTTCAACATCCATCTCACACAAACCACATTTGGTATCAATGGTAAGATACCTGCTGAATCTATTCTTGGTTTGTAATCTTCCTCTCATCAGTAACTAAAAGATAATGGGAAACTTAGTGAGAGTATATTTGAAGCTCTAGACCCAATCCTTCCATCTGTGTGTAGTTCTTTCCCCTTAAATCTAATCAGCAATCATATATCCATCACCTTTGGGCATATTTTCAAAGTAATCTCTAACCTTTTAAAAGTCAATTGAACTCCCCCATAGAAATTTTTTGCAGATGGCCACAATCCTCGTCATCACCTGTTTAGGCAAGATGAATAGCCTTGCTTAGAATGTAACTATCCCCATTAGCACCAGTGAATAAGTCTGATCCTAGCCATAAAGCTCCATCCAGTTATTCTTCTGCTAGTTTGATGCGCTCCACACTTCAACAATTTAAGAATACGGTTTCATTTATAAAATAACTATCCAAACCTGGGAGGGAAAGACGGAATCCAAATCCTTGTATTTTGAAATGATTCATTCATTGAAATGAATGTCAATCACATTGTTAGAAGGCCCGAATCTCTTGAAGCGCACAGTCTTGACTTGAACTTTGAAAATAAATGATTAATCAATCAACAACCGGTTAAATGCTTATAGTTGTATATTTTCCACTGCAATATTTTGGATCATAGTTTTCAACAAAAATTGTTGAATGCTGCCACAGGTAAGAGCTAAGTAATTTTTATCTGAATGTTTATTTCCATTAACATAAAGTTGAACAAAATTTGAAGTACGCAATGAGTATAGAATAGTATCTCAGATAATACCTTGCATCATAATCCTTATAAACAATGAGCTTTACAAAATATGATGCACAACACACCAACAGGTTACATATTTCTCTAAGGTATAAATTTGAACTGCAAAAATTTTCTCCATGGATAGACAATTTTGAAAATTCAAATGAAATTGATAAATCATCAGTGCATAGTAAATTTATAAGCAGAATTAGTGTTTCAAATTGAGCTTGAGCTTTTGATCTTAAAAAACCATCATACAGTATATTATTATTAAAAAAATCCTAATTAAGAGACACAGGCAACCATATCTCAACTCTAATTCAATTTGCAAGGTTTAAAACAGCAGTCAATAAAACTTATTTGAAGTAGTATATGCATTTTTCTATAAAAGTAAGGCAATAATATACTCCCTCCGTCCTATAATGATCTTCCCGGTTCGCAAAACGAAGAAAA